AAGAGAAAAAATGGTGCAAGTGGGATTCCAATAAATAGAGTGAATTTCTTCCCCTGGAAACAAGGAAAAAAATCCAAACCCTAACCAGCACTCTGAGAAGTCCAACTGCTTCCAGTCCACGTGTGCCTTGACCCTTCCGGGTGTGCCAACCAGGATGTGCGTGCCATGACTCACTTGCCCCCACATGTGCTTGACTGAAGTGCCGCCATAAAGCATGTTTGTTTTGATTTCACTGCCACGGGTCAATCTGAGGATCTCCACTTGAATCTGCAAAGCCAGTTCCCTGGTTGGGGTGAGGATCATTGCTTTGATCTTCACTTGTTGTCTGGATCCGCAAGTGGGTCTCTCTGTCATGAGGTAGGGCAGCACCAGAGCCAGGAATGCCACCTGTTGAAAAAAGAAATAATAATACAGTAACATCTCATAACAACACTTGTTTTTACTTGTAAGAAATTGAGTCTTCTAGGTGTGGGCTGGCCTCTCTTTTTGTACTCTGGCAAAAATGAACTAAGGATAAGCCCTGTGGTCGCTTTTCAAGTACCATAGCCCCTGTCTTTAGTAATCTAGAGTGGTTGGACAATCGGGTCAGACTCCTCTGAAAAGAGGCATGAGAATTCACTTCTTATGGTAGGATGCTCTGAATGGAAGGGATCCCACAATCGTCGCCGGATCCAACCCTAGATTAGAAAGTTGCTAAGAATTACCATTGATGCTAGCACCCACCACAAGACTCCGCGTTTTGAGTTATTGAAAGTGTAAATTTGTGGATCAGTACTGAAAATTGATTGATCAGAGTAGGGATACTTGGTTACTCTCGGGTTGTATTTACAAAGACTAGTTTTCAATCTGATATGGATGGCTTTGACTATTGAGAAAACTAGTTTGTTTTCTTTTGAAATTTGTATATTATTTGGCGGAAAATATTGAACGCTATATGTGTTACTTTGCAACTTGATTGGTTTGAATATTCTGCTAATTCCGATGGCGTCAGTACGCGCGGTATTAAAATCGGCGTGTCTAATCGCGCGTCCTTGTATGGTGTGGGAATGGAATGTTGGGAAGCGTCCCAGGCTTCTTATGTGAGGGATTTTCATTCATGGATTTATGTTGCTGGTATTCGCGAAGGACAAAGAAATGCGGCGTTTTTGTTTGTATCGAATTCGGAGATGGGATGAGAGAAGCGGGTTCATTACTGTTCGAAACTTGGTGGAGTGCGGATCTCCAGATATGTTAGATTTTGGTAGGACTTAGAAATTCTGCCCAAAATGCGTTGAAGGTCTGCTCGACTAAAAGTGATGTGAATTTATTTTGGTTTGATGCAATGTATGTCAAAGTGTATTGGATGTTTAAGGCTCTGAATTGATTATGATGTTCATATGTTTCCAGACAGATCCGAGAATCGATTGTTACAGTTTTCTGTTGTTAAAAGACGGTTGAAAGTTTGTGAATAAATTCGGTAGTTCTAGTTAAATCTTTGAGAACTGGGGTCGACTCGCCGAACTCCGGATATTAGAGGGCCGCACCAAAGCGGATCCACCCTCCATCAGTGTCTAAAAGAGGTCTGCGTCCAACACCGTAAAAATTACCAAACAGCGAACTCTTTCAAATACGATACACATCCTTGAACCTTTATTGAAGGTTATTGTATCCTGTGAAATTTGAGCAGTTTTTCTGGAATGAAAAAGGCTTTTTGAAGTTTACAGACAGTTCAATGTAATTATTTTTTCTGAGGCCACTCATTACGAACTGCATGATTAAACCTCTTGGATTGATGCCGCTGGTTGGAAACAGTTATATTTTCTTAATGTCAGTGGTTGAATTATGCGTCTGTGGGGTTGCGTATTCATGAGGTTTTCAGCATACTCGGGGTAATGAGGCTTCAAGTGGCCGAGCTTTTTGTCGGAGCGTCCAAAAATTCACGAATTCTTTGAATTTAATATACAGAACTAAAAATCGGAATCCAACGCTTTTATTACTGCGATATATGCTCGTCGTTTCTTCTCTTTGCTTTCGGAATATTCTGCGCACGAGAGAGCTCTGCATTTCCAAAATCAAGTAATGAGATGGACTTCTACGTTTTTAAGCCGGTTCTTCGCGTTCGTTTCCTGGATCGTGTTCCCAAAAAAAACATTACTCAAAATCAGCGTCGGGGTTTCTCAGTCTGGCTGACGCATTCACGTGGAGCTACGTGATTTTCTGTCTCTATGCTGTTTATTCATTAGCGATTTTTCACGCTTCAAGGAAATTGCTGACTGGAGTGCGGGATGATGAACTACTGCGAAGAATAGAGTTCTTTTTTTGTAGAAAATTAGGCATCGTATTGGGTGGTTTCGGAGGATTTCGATGCCTGCTTCAGTCGTTGATTCCTCTGTAAATAACCGGCGTGGAAGCTAGTCGCAGTTCCCAGCTATTGCGAATTCAATCAAGATCCAAGAAGATTTATAAATATGCAAATAGTATGCAATCGGTGCGCTGATCCTGCGACGGGCTTCGTTACGGTTTCTGAGGAGGATGCCATCAAGGGTCACTGAATGCGGATCGAACTCGCGATCCCTGCAGCTGGGATGATAAATTACTCTTTTTCTCTTCGAATTCCGTCGAGCTTAATTTTCCTGGTAAGGGAACTGTTCTCGAGATTATCACAGTTGATTCATTAAACTTCTATTTTTGCGAGACCGGACTATGTTTAAATTGGGCGGAGGGACATTGGAATTAGAAAAGGTTGAAGATCACTTCACCGATCTTATCGGCCAAGATTTACCGATCTTATGAAGTACTAACCTGGTCGCGAGATCCATATGGCGCTTAGATCTCTATGCCAGAGATACGCGTCCAAGGTACAAATGTGATCAAAGTATAAGTTTGTTTTTCTTTCGTTCGCCGCTTCCGATTAAACTCAAAAATTCCGCCACTTCTTAATTTATTGGTAACTCTTGCGTTAGCTCGTCTTCTCGATAAAATATAAAAATCCCCGAATCCATTTGGGATTGGCTTCAATGCCCATCGAATCCTCCTGATCGTGAAATTTGAACTGGCTTTATACGGCGCTCTGCAATCATCCCACGGCATCTGCCTCGTAATGGAAGTGCGTTAGATTTTTCAGGGAACTACAGGTATAGAGTTTGAATTTTCTTTGTTTATGTAATATTTTGCTTGAACGAGCGTCATTAGGTCATGACGGAATCCCGGACACCTTGCTAATGAAATTGCATCCTTACCAGAAATGTATTAGTCATAATTGATGAAATCCAACAAAGAGCTACCTGTGAATATGAAAATTGTTCTTAGGGTCATCAGCATCGGTTAACAGGTCTGAAAAACTGTTCAGTTCACTTAGAAAGTGCGGTGTCACTGCAGCATATCCGTGGCGTTTCTATACTAGACTTAGTAAGAATGTCGCCTTTTTTTCACGGTTAATTTAGGCTTCAGTTAGTCTTAACTTATTTCTCCTTGCTGCTTCCCGTTTTTTTTTTCGGGAAAACAAACTTTCTTGACCGAAATGGAAACTAGACAAACTGGTGCTAGATGAGGTTGAACTTTGAAGTATTGTAAGATGCACGCATTGCGGAATTTTATTCGTGGGATGAGTGTCGACTCTCAAGTGTAGAAGTTATGTCTCTGTGTGTTTTGCTTGATGGATTTCTGCTTCGAATATTTCTAGTTTAAAATATAAGAATGAAGAAGGATCCCTCGGTCGTCGTGGTTGTTGGGTCAGATGGAGGATCCTGGGAACAGAGAAATAATCTCGGGGTTCTCCATTGATCGGGAATGGGTCGGAGGAGCGAGCTCGATTTGAGTCCTCGGGAATGAGGTCTATGGTGCTCGAAATCCTTGGTTGAAAGAGTGTTATTTATAATGTTGGTCTCATCGGCGCATCGAAAGATGGAATCGATTGGAATCGATTTCGCATGAAGTATCCTCGAGCGGCCCGCAGGGAACGTGTCACGATTTAGGAAAAACTGCGAAGTGAATGTCACATGGATGAATAATCTGGAGGAAGTGCGCTTTACTGCTCCGACCTTTGGAGTGTTGACCCAGCGATATCGAAATTCAAACAATGGCGCGGCGTGGAGGTGTCGAGCTGACTTCCGTGTTTCTCATCTCCTTTATTTTATTTTCAGACGCCGGAAGAAGCCGTGGATCACTTGAGCAGGAGTATCTATTCGCCCGACCGTTTCGCTGGCTCACAAAATGGAGAAGAACGCAAGCCTATGATCGACTTGGATCCTCTCGGTGAGCTGCTCTGCATAATGGCCGTGCTCACTTGCAGAGTTTGATATCATGTTTTTTTGTGAGTGTAGGTGAGGGTGAGTCGGGTCGGGGCATCGATTCTGCGGCGCCAGTCAAAGGCAACCTGAATGAGTACGAGTCGATAGCAGCCCCGGCGCCATTGCCGCCTCCTCCTCCCCCGGCTCCATTTCCGCATCGGCTGGCTACGTCTTCACCGTCGTCCCTGGCGTCCTCGGCTTCGCTGTCGTCGTCATCTTCATCATCCCGCTGCCTCGGTAGTTTACGGTGAGTGCTTCTTTCTCTCTTGTTTCCTATCCGGTCATGCCAAGTCAGTCTATGGTAAAGCTTCTGGTTTAATTCTCTCGTCAAGACGCCACAGTCTGTAAGCATCACTTCCTGCGTGTAGAGTTCTGTGAAACCTATTGATTTAACTGAGTTACCTTTGTTTGTTATTCTTTTTTACACAATTTTGAAACGCCGTGCATCGTAAGACGCACCTGCAATTTCTGTGTGATAGAATTGCAAGGAATTGCATCTAACGCGCACTTCGCGCTAGTTTCAAATTTTTTTTTAGAATCAGAGGTGTATTGCTTCTACGCTCGCGTCACTTACCAGCACGATCGCTTCTAGTACTTTCAATTGAAATTCGGATTTCGATTCGTGTGTCCTTGAAGTTAAATGGTAAAAGGAATTTTTAAAATTTCTCTCTGCGAATCCAAATTGGGCCTCCGTTTTTGGAACCCAATGTCAATGAAAAAAATGCTTCTATATTTATCATAGGCGGTTTTTCTCGATTTCTTCATGGCGAACGCTTCCATTTAACTTCCCTTTCGGTCAAATTTCACTCGAATCCCCCTCCCCAACTTTGGTTTCGTTCAACTCATACCTACCATTCCCGTTAAAGCCCTCCGTTGCCTTGGTTACATCTAACATTCCACCTGACAGAGTAACCCGTTCCACTAGGGATAAGCGCTGAAAAGCTCTGAAGCACTTCCCCGCGATTCAGTCTCCCATCCGCGTCACTTGATCGAAAACCCTGATTTTGATAAATTCCTTGGCCAGATCGGGTATGCGCAAGTTTTCCATTGCTCTCTGCGTTGTAATGAGTATTCGGTGGCATCACATCATGCAGTGCTTCTCATCGGATACCGTAGAAGTGGAGGGGGAGAACCGATTATTATTATTTTTTTTAAATAATAAGTGGAATCCACCAGGTATTATCCTGAAAGCGAATTTTGTCTAGTCGCTCCGTTTTGTATCGATCCTCGCTCGGCATCCGTGGTTCGCGTGCTGAGAATAATGGCCGTAGCCGAGAGGGGGTTTGAGGTCCGGCCGGTTATTTCTGACGATCGAGCGTCGATTCCCTGGCGCGAGGTGATGCGGTTTTCGACTGGCTGAGTAGCATGGCATTTGGGCGAGTTGACGTGGTTCTGCGCCATCCTGTGGGGTTTTTTTTCTTCTTCTTTCAACTTCGTGGTCGAGTCTCCAAGGAGCAGGCTGCTCAGCCCTTCCTGTATGGATAGTACAGTAGTTCAACTTCCAAACCACGTCTCCTTTTCTGTTGCTTGTTCTCATTCAGAAAGAAAACAGATGTCTCGCCATGATAAGTTTTTATTAGATTTCCAGCGTATGAGCCTAGGATCTTATTGCGTATGTAGATCCAGCAGTTTTTCATGAACCAATTCATGCCTAAATTTATCACCTTCGTGGTACTGTAGATAGTGAGATGCCTCCCTTGGTGGTATCAACATTTTCAACGAGCATTTCTTACCGTTCATCCTTATTCCTGCATTTAAACTTGCGGAAGTTCTCACGAGCTGCTACGAGCAGGTTACCTAGATGCCATCAAGAACTTTTTGAAGTTCGTATACGTGAAAGCTGGCTTTACCGGGGTGACAGTTCAGCAGTTTGTCCCCTCCAACATGAAACGAGAAGTACTGAATTCTTGTTTGTTCACAACTTCGGCAAGGAAAACGATGGAAAAATTACCTTTCCGAGAAGGAAATATGGTTTAGTTCCATACTTTTAACAGACTTCCCATCTCCCTATCATATATTTTTTCAAATTAGCGATCCTCTCCGTAAAAAAAATACAAACAAATTGCGTTAAATGTTTTGTTCGTCCCTATAGGAAGATCAGCAGGAATGATTTCATTTATCGCTGATAATCTCAGCCGGTTAAACGATTCAGTATTTTTTCATTTAAATTCTAAAGTCACGAAGATCAGTCACAAAGTGAGCGGAAAATGAGAAAGCGCAGTGATTTGATTCCACTGTCTACGGAAATAGAACCGATTTGAGTCCAATTTACTACCTCTAGTGAGTCCAGTTTTCTCCGAGTGATGTCTTTTTTTTGCGTTCGTCTTTTCATGGAAAATGATACCCTACCGTTGTTATTTTCCATTTTCATAATCTGACGAAGCCCCTCTGGTTAGATTGTTTGTTCCCGAGCTTGTTGTCGTGAGCATTGCTGAGCAAACAGGTATCACTGCCCCGTAGTCTGAGTTCCCTTGTTGTCTGGCATCATGTTTACACAAGGGCCGCACGCGGCCAAAAGTTTCCCAATTACCCGTCGAAACTCCGGCGGATCTTAACTCGATTATTCAGCCTCCAGCTTCCCTCACAAAACTCCGAAAGCAAGGTTGTGTTTGAGGAGAATGAATAGTTTTTTCCCTTGCTATTTCAAAGTTACCCTGCTGACAAGTGTGGTGGTCTTTGCAGAGTTTGCAGACTTTCGATGCGAATTTTTCTACCGAGAAAAAATAGGGAATCGGCTAGAAGAGATCCCTGTTTTTTTCAACTTTTTTCGATTGTACCAAGAAGAGCTTTATAGTTTTTCCAATTGGAAGATCATGTTCACAGCAGGAATTAGGTCATATTTCGCTGGAAATCGCATCTCGTTAAACGAAGCAGTATTTTTTTCATCTGAAGTCACGAAGAGCAGGATCAAGTAAGTTTGACAGATGAGATAGTTGAGTGATCTGATTCCACTGTCCACTGAGAATAGAACCATTTTGAGTCCGTTGTACTACCTCCAAAATCAAGGTTGTGTTTGAGGAGCCCGAATCTTTTTTTTCCTTCCTGTTTCAAAGTTAACCCACTAACAAGTGTGGTGGGTCTTTGCGGAGATTGCAGACTTACGATACGAATTTTTCTATCGAGTGAAAAATAGGGAATTGGCTTGAAGAGACCCTTATTTGTTCACCATTTTTTCGATATTACCAAGAAGGTTTTTCTAGGAAACGAGACGTGGAAGAGTCGTGATTGAATATTCAGTTTTGAGGGTCGGGTGGTCGCAGAGATCCTCTTCGAGACCTTTGAATAAAGTGCACCCTACGCTTTCCCGCAGTGCGATAGAAGCGAAAAATGGAACGGAAACGCATTCAGAGAGCGAATCCGGTGGGAGAGACGTACGGAGGACAAAATCATTGCCGCCTGATAGCTTCGACGTCGAACCGAGAGACCCCGGTGCGACGAGTATTAGCCCCGGATCTTCCCATGGAACTGTGAATATTCCTGATCAGCGTGATTTGTCAACGCCGGTCTGGGTGCCTCGGTGAGTTCTTTTCTCGACGCGCTAGTCGCGCCTTTGTCCGCCTTGCAACGCTCATGTTTCCCTGCTATTCTCTCCACAGCGGGAACGGACCTGACAAGCCGACTTCGGAAGCCGTTCCGCTTCTGAACGAAACTAATGTGGATGAAGGTAAGCTCGAGTAACACGGCAGTCACTGTTCATCCCCGCGTTGTCCCAACCCTTCTCTTTCACTAGAAGCTTCGCGGATTCCCCGAGTCATGGATTTTGACGCGACACTGAGAGCGCGTGCAACCCGAGCCGACAAATCCGCGACTTCAGTGGGTTTCGAGAGATCGGGCAATAGAACTGTCCTGCTTGATCAGCCCTAATTTATGCCAACCCCTCTCTGTAGTTAATATACAAGTCGAACTATCCGATACATACAAAAATCTCTGCTTATCTTTCGCTCATGCAACGCATCCTCGCATTCTTCGAGAATATCGTGTTGCAGTGTTCACGCGAAAATCGTTAGTTACTCTCTTTGACATGGAAGAGAGTAAGTTATTGTTCTTTATTGTTCTGCATTGAAAGGTTTGTTTCCCCTCGAAGCTTTGCAGGCAATTTTCAAAACATTTTGTTCAATTTTGACTAGAAAGCCTGTAAAGGAATTCAAATTGTAGCCAAGGTTACATTTAAAGAAATTTAAAGGTTACATTGAAATGAAGGTATCCCCCCCCCCTTTTTCTGACCAGCAGTATCTGGGCATAAGCTTGCGTTGAATCTACACGGGAAGAATTGAATCCGTTCATATTCTGAAGATCGCACCAACATACGCTATATTTGCTCGCCTATCGCGTGATTCGTAACCAAGGGATTTCTTAATCCCAATTTCCACCAAATCTGCAGACGAAATGTTCAGATGTGTCTGCATGTAATGATGATGAGAAATTTCCTGAGAAATATATGGAATTAATCTTTTCGATTACGATCGAGAACATCTGACTTGCGGTCGTAGATAAGGAGGTTGATTAAATTGTGCTGAAAATAGTTCAGGTAAGGACCTCCATTCCACGTTTCCCATCCAATGAACACATCTTTATTGTTGCACATTTGTTTTAAAAATTTACCTAATTTCTAAAGGGGGAAAATTGTAAGAAGATTCTGCTGTTTGTCAGCTTCAGGAGGCGCTATGTACTCTAATTCTTCAATACATGACATCTCGGTTTTTTTCTTCTATTTTTCCATATTCATCGTTGGATTTCATGATGTGCTTTTGTATTCAACACTTCTTTCCCATGAATCAGTGCAAAATTCAGTTTCAGTACAAAATCGTTGACTTACAGTATTTGCGAAAGTCGGCGGAAACCTCGGATTATGGCTTAGTAATTTTTGAAGTTTTGCTCATGTTGGTGCCTCTCAGAATTGGGTCGGAGAAGAACTTTCTTCTGTTTTCATGGTCGGATTTTAAACTCTTCAAACTTAGATGCCACGGCTGGACTAGAAAGCAGATTTAAAATCAATGTTGTGCCTTCCCGGCGTGCCATGCTCCCTTCAAGAGAAAGGGAAATTCATGAAAGTTTATGGTAGTACAGCATCTTGAAGTAAGAGAACTAGTAACCTCGTTCCGTACAGAAACAGTTCTGTCACGAACTGTGTATCATATGTCGCCGAATCCACTTCTGCTGCATGTTTTTCCCGAACCGAAAGCGTTGATCCCAATAATTATCCCTCAGAGGTTCCTGTCATGAATCTAGAGCTGCGCTTTTCCGTGAGTTCCCCTGCTGAAGATTATGTTGCATTGAGCTTCCCGTATAGACCACGATGAGTGCGTGAACTCCCGGTGGTTTAGTCGATACGCAGCGACTCAAAAGCGAAGAATTCAGACTGCTCGATGTCAGCGTTGCGCCTTGGTGCTTGAAAGAGCTGCTTGCGAGGGCAGCAAGGCCCGGGCCGTGTCAATCCATAATTCAGTACCGATCCGGGCAGTTGAACATACGCGGAAGTGGCGAACTGGGACGCAGCGTTGGGAATCGCCGCTATCATCGCGACCCCGTCCGCGGATGGATGAGCCCGTTGAATTTTTCACCGGTTCTCGCGGTGTCCGCAAGGAAAATCGATCCCGTGCGACTCCGATGGGTGCTTGAATCTTTCATCGACGCTTCCATGCGAAGCTCTTGATCTCGAGTCGGGCCCTTGTTCCATTCCATATGCTGCCAGTCGCACTGATATGACAGGTTTCCGCAAGTGTCCGTCTTCCTGCCGACGGCGATTTCCTCCGGCGTTTTAAGCGGGCGATGCGCTTGCTTTATCTCTTACGTCTTTCTAAAGCTCTACTCTCATGGGCTCGTCGGCATGAGGTCTCGAGTAGTGCGAACCTTGCCCGTCTAGAAAGGGTTCCGTCGATGCTGGGATTACGCGATGCATAGGAAAGCTTTTCTTTAAACACACGGGCTCAGTTGTTCGGCTTGATTTCGGAATCAATTCTTCTGAGAAGGAAACGCTATCACAACGAACGCCTAGGAACAAGTGCAATACGGTATTTACGTAGCGTCAGTACTGTGCTGTACTTCACTTCGTCGCAAACAGTCCTGAAGTATTGTTGGAACAGGCAAATACAGCAACGTACTGCACATACTGGACTAGAAGAGGTCCGTTAGTAGGATATACGCCTCTTTCATCGTCTTGAACTTGGAGATGCTAAAATTCAACTCATAAAGTTCCAAGTGCCGGTGTAAATTTTAGAATCTATTCTGCTTCACGTCCCCTCTGAAAATTTTATTGATGCATGGGACACCTCATAATATACAGGTGGTACCTTGCAATTCGACTTCTGCCCCGCAGAGAGACAAAACGTAAAATTCGATGTAGAAAACATCGAATTCCCCCAGCCCAGTAACGGATTAGGGTCGAATTGCGGGGTACTATTTGATGCTGAAGGGGGAGCAAAAGCATTTGAAGGGTGTTGCATTTAGTCGTTCAGAACTAAATCTCCATGAATCATACATCATTCTTTCAAAAATCGGTGATGAAATTGGAGAAAGTCTGTGTAACGATCAAAGCGATTATGCGTTATATTTTCTCAATTCCACCAAATAGTGGATGGTGGTTTTCACGTTTTTTTTTCTTGCGAAGTTTTCAATACAATGTCCAAGTCCCATGCACGAATTTGGGCGAGAAATTCTTCATGCAGTGTTCTCCTGAAACCTTTTGAAAACACGTGCTGAAAAATAAGTGTTACCAAAAATTCTGCAAACTTTTTTCGATTGATAAACTGGGGTCCTTGAAAATTCACTGCAATGAACTTATTTTTATGGGGATTCTTTGGATTGGAATTTAATCATATCTTCGGATGCAGTCTCGCTGTACCCAATATCAATCAGTCCGTGTTACGCAACTGTCTTGAAAAGCTAATGTCGATTTATTAATGAAGTACAGTATGTGTACATCTTGTGAAGGCTTAAATTGTAACTGAAAATCAATGACATCCCCTATTCTAAAGTGCTTATTTTACATGTGTGCCTTCATGCCTTCATTTCGGACTGTTTTTCACTTCGTCAACGAATATTACATCCAGTCTAGACGCCTGAACCTGCGTCTAGGATTCCTCTACAGACGATTCCACGTATTCGATCATATTTTTGGCTGTTCGGTTCTCTGAGCAAATATAAAGTATTGACAAATCCTGATACTGGTACGATGCAAGTTGTTTGAAGTCACTCAAAGCGATGAGTGGAAGTTGTTTTGAAGTGGGGTAGCGAACGCAAAGGACCCCCACGGGAAAAATCAGCTGAGCGTGGTCATGTTTTCATTGGCGAGTCCGACCCATGGACGAAGTGAATGTTCTGCATGGGCAGATGGCGGAGTCGTTCTGTGGTTCCCCCCTTGTATCCCACTATACGTGTGGGGAGGCGCGAGACGCTCTGTGCGTGAGGGTAGGATCCCCAGATTTCTAGCCCGAATGAGTTCGTGGGATCGTGATCGTTTTCCGCGTCGCCATCTGGCCAAAATTGCTTTCGCCGTGATGATGGATATCGCGCAGCGCCACTGCGAAAATCCCCGGAGCCATTCCGCTGCCCGTCGAGCCCCGAGGCTATCAAAACCGAGTTAATGCCTGCCTACCCCCGATATTGCTTGTTGTCTGTCCGCGAACTCGGCAATACTTTTTACTCTGGTCTTTAGCCCTGGTTCCTGAGCAGAAATCAGTGCCGTGACGACTGTTTCATGACAACTTGGGTTCTCTCGCTCGCGGCAAACGAAACTTCGGGACCTCAAGAATGCTGATAATTTTTCTCCCTGCTCACAATTTTGTGGATGGCGATATCGGACCGCGAGAGCCGACCCCGCCTCCAGCGTAGGAATCGAAGTGATATTACCACAACGTGAACGGGAAATAATTTCCTCTGGCTCTGTCGTCAGCTCAAGGAATATGCCTAGACAGTTTCGTTTTGCCGAGATATCCATCAGAGATCACCTTTTGATCCTCTTGGAATGCGTCACGAGGGGTCGTTTCAGGAAGATCTCGATCGATGCATCTACAGTATAATCATAACTTATGGCTTATCTTATGTCTCCATCATGAGGCACCTAGTTCAGGAGAATCAATGCTCTACTTTGTCCACGAAACTTTGTAGATTTAAAAAGTCTCAAGCGTAGAGAGATTGAACACTAAGAAAACGGGGGAATTTCCATCAAACAGACAACAACGAACGTTGGGGAAATATTTTGCTTTTTTGGGACGAAACTCGGGACTGCCATCTAGGGGATCAGAGACCATTAATGTTAATGATCATAGTCTGTCAAAAGGAGAGAAATGGGAGGGGAATGGGCATCCTCATGAAGCAATATTAAACTCTGTTGCCCGTCAGATCAGAATATTGGTGAATGAATTCGGAATTTTCCTTGATACGAACTAAATTTTTTCCTTTCCCATGCTCTGAACGCTTCGTGTTGGAATGATACACTTTCGTTCTCAGTGTCCCACTTTCTTTTTACGCAATTTTAATTTTATTTCTAAATTTCTGAAAATTTCCCTTCAGGTAGTTGCTTGAAACATCCTGTGGTATGTTGCTTTCGTTTTCACTCCGCACGACAGTCCGCAGCAAACGAAAGGGACCTTTTCGTTTTGCTGTGGAACGGCTTCAACCTTCGATCACGATTCCCGTTAGAATATTTTTGGCATAATTTTGATTGAACCCTTGTTAGAACGCGTGAGGTGGGCTAGAACAAGGGTTTCGTGGAACGTATTTTGTTTCGATTAGTTGCTCAGGAAGGATGTACTTGACTGATAATCGAGGCGAATTATTCAAGAGTAATGGTTAATTTAGTGATCGGGGCACTGTGCAATTCAGGAAATCGACCATCCAGCCAATCGCGTGCCGAGACGGAAATACCTTGTAGATCCCCGCAAATTGATCACCCTGAACGAAATTTCCAGAATATCGCTCCCGGTCGTCGTAAGCCGAAACCGTGATCTAGTCGAGTCAGAAATAGACCTTTCCGCTTGACCCATTTTTGACTTTCGTCGGAGATCTTTCTGGTCCTTGGCTGATGGAAACGGGATAATTCGCAAACAGACGGAAAAAAAGTGAAAACCGCGTTATTTCGCGATGCCTATTCGTATGCCGGACTCGGTGTGAATCACGGACGGAATGCATCCACGAGTCGGCATTAACCGGGTACGTAGACGATCGGAATCAGGTCCGTTTGAACTGGGGTATCGATCATGCAACCTAGGCTCTGGTCCCACTGCGGCGAGCCGCGGAAGTTTGCCGAACGTGATCCGGAATGTCCCCGGGCGCGGCCGGCTTTCGTTCAGCGTTCCGTGTTTCTGCGTTAGTCAGTGGATTGACCTGTGGGATTCTCCTCCCTTCCTTTTTTTATACTCTCTGCAGATGACTTGGATACGGATCAAGAAACGGACAGATTGCTGGGTCAACACCGGTCAGACGACGGCGGCTTTTTCCGAGATGAGAAGGTGAGAGAATTTGGCGGTTGTCGTATGCCTGAGCAAACCTTGGCTGAGTCGTGATCTTGCCCCCGGCGTGAGCGACTTCGCAGTAATGCAGTACTTGGGCGAAAATCCTTGATTTTCTGCTTACCTATTCGCCGATATTTGCAGTTAAATCCTTTATTTTGACGCACTGTCGTATTTTCCTCAACGTTTTATAGTTTTCCGCTTTCACTTCCTTTCCATCATAACCCATGGAGAGCGAAACTGCTGAGCCTGAGACGAAAGCGACCAAGATAAAATCTGCTCTAATTGATCTAGCATTCTTTTAATTTCTTCTGGAATTCAGATTCCACCATCACTTCCAATTCCTTTCGATAGATTAGGGATGGTCGTTTCACTCATTTGGGAATACTTTTTCATAGATAAGACAAGGGTGGTGGGTGATTTCCCGCACAGTTCGATTTTCAACTTTATGGCACTGTAATTGTGGCCGTAAATGGCTATATGATTTCAAAAGAGTTACTGGAACATCTTCTGTCCTAGATTAGGAACAATATTCTTCACCCACTGAATGAATGACGAAAGGAAAAAAAATCGTCCTGAGCTTCACGCATTACTTTTTAAATGCATGTGTGATGATCTTCCACGGTTTCCCGAAATAATCCAATGCGATCAAGTAATGCCCTTTATTACAAAAATTGACCCAAAAATGATATATCATCCGCTTGAATCTCCACTCGATTGAAAGTAAATATTATTGAAAGTTCTTGAATGGAATTTCCAAGTTGAATACGAAACAATGAAGGGCTGAATTTGGAATTTGAAAGCTGACAAATTGTTCAGACTGGTATAGAAGTAATCAAACTTACCATAATTTGTCATCGAATGGTAGTGACTTTCTGTTTTACATTACTGTACAGTATTAATTTTTCAATTGCGCGAAGACACCCGAGTACCCGACACCCTTTGTAATAAACTGCTCGAGTTTACGATCCCCGAATGCTGGCGGAACTTTTCTTACGGAGAAGTGAAGTCAGTAGTGTCGGCATACAACTCCGTCAAATAAATTGCATGCTGCTTTTGATGCTGATGTATTAACTATATAGTGGCCCGGGCATAGTTCCCGTAGAAGTTGCAGGGATGTGTCATGAGACGAGGATTATTGCTGCCATTCTTCACGAAGGGCGGGCGGTCGGTCGGCTTTGGAGGCCTGGGCCGCGGAATTAGGATTAAAGCGGCGTAGTGGTGCCGTGTAATCGCGATTCTTCGGCGGTCGCAATCCATCTCCTGATCACACTTGCACGCAAGACTTATCCTTCCTGCTGTTCTCTGCTTGAGTCCTAAGCTAAAATAACATCCTACCGAAATCACATCCAATTCCGTCTGGCAGGTATGATGCATGGGTACTTACGGTCGCCAGCAATCTTCCTTTGTTGCGCCGAGTTTCAGTGTTCCATCTTCCGTTCGGAATGCTTCTCGTGTTATCAACGACGAAGGTTTCATGCTAATCCCACCTGTCCTAATGACTATTTCACAAACACAGCGCTGGAGGGCTTCCGATGTTTTTCACGAACTCCCAACTTTTTTCTGAATCGTGGGTTCTGCGAATTTTGAAGCTGCGTGATAACATCCACTTTTACTGAACTTCGCTCGCTTCGTGCTTGCTGCAACTCGCTTCCTTCAGAATTATGAGAGCCTTCGATCGTCCGGAAACTGACTCGTACTAGTCTTTCCTTGTCCTAAACGTTGCGTGTCGCGTTGGACAATAACCACAGGTTTGTGAAATTACGCGTGGGAATCCCGCGTGATCTGCTCTGGTAAATCATTCAAATGCCGCTCTGACAGTTGAATAACGCACTCATACTCGTAAATCTCGACTTGAGCATGTTTTTATGATTCATGCATTCATGTCGTCCGTAATCGCGAACAACGTATGGATGAAGACTGTTCAGCCCTTCAGTAAGTCGCGATTTGTTGGTGTTGGATTTAATTAAAAGTGTTCCGTTGTCTTAATATTTTAATCGAAAGATTTTAGACGATGGTGTGCTTACGACGTTGTCGAATGTGAGCGTTTTATTCGACACTGTTTTTTCTAGTTCTACCTCCGTGTGAAGTAAACTATCGAAATCAACTTACAGAAAGTGTGTTCTTATCAAGATGCCGCACTTTGTGATCATATATTGTATCTCATTTAAACCCCCTCCCCCACATAATCTGCCATACCTTTCGTAGTAGTCCATATACTGCAAACTTGCTGTAAAGTACAGTATTTTGGAGATATTCGAATAAAGTACTGTATAGGCCGTACCACATACGCATATACGCGGCCTATATTTCGTGGCCTTTACTTGAGATAATCCATGATAAAAAAAACACATTCTTCCTGGGAAATTTGTCCGGTTTTAGCTAATTGTCATGAAGGTTTCCCGTAATCGTTTTTCAATTAATTTTGAGTATGCACTAAGATCACCTGAGATATTCGCTCAAAATAAGGTGGCGCATGCTGTCGCTTTCGGCCTGTAATCACGTAAATATTTTCCTGCCCGGATAAGAAATCATGATTATGCGGAGCTGTTCTGTTATTTTCCCTCCCGTTAACTGAGAAGAAGAGTCGAGAGAAATTGTGAAGGTACTATTTTTTTTCAAGTGAAAATAATTCAATGCTTGAGGATTTCCTTTGGGAAGCGCCTCGCGTAGTCGCGTCGGAAAGAGTTACTTTCTTGGGATATTTCTCTGCCATGTGCAAGCACTCCTCTCTGTGGTGCCCGTATTTCACAGCAAACCTGACGGATATTACCAGATACCTTCGACCTTCGCCCCGGTTTTCCTGGGCGCGCGTCTGAATTGCTAAATTCTTCGTGCGCTTAATCGTCTCGCCAGCCTTTCTTATGGGCCCAGTGGGTGAAATAACCGCGCGGCGCGTCGTTTTATGTTCTCCACCCGGTAAGCAATTAATTTCGCCCTGCGGCCATTGTGTGGCACTTGGGCGAAAACGCGAGTATTATCTTTTTTCCTCCCTCTGCCAACTTGAGGAGACAGTGTTGGCGCTCCTTGAAGAAAAAAAGCCGCGAACAATAATGCCACCGACATCTCGGGGCCAAACTGCGGCGTGGTAGGAAATTCGTCGAGAGCCCGTTTTCTGTTCTAAATACAGCGACAGCAAAAAATAAATGAACTGTCTCCGCCGGACACGTCGTGCGGAAAATTCTTGACTTCATGTGAGGCGTTTATTTCTCATTTTATGTTGGAAATTAATTTCTTCCTTAACTACTGCTAAATATTATTTTTTGAATCTGAACTGTGCTGTGTATGAGTAATTCGTTATTTTGATTGATTCCGAAGCAAATGTTCGATCCTAGTCTCTCCTTTAAAAAACAAGTGGGGTAAGATACGTTTCCCTTCAGCCTCTCAAGATTATTTTCTCATTGGTAAATCATTTTATAGGGTTTCATGCATACCAGATTGTTCGGTATGAAGTCCTTCCTTCAGCATACTTTTAGAATATGGAATTATGGTTAGATTTTTCGCCGTTCTGGGGGTATTTTCTGCTGCCACAGATCGGAATATGAATGATGTTCACTGGCTTTTCACGATTTTAAAATCCTTTTCCGGAAATCAATACAGGAAGCCCCAGTACTCTTTATAAATTCAGAATAATGCGTAGAATGGAAAGAAAAAAATTATCAACAGTCTGGGATCGTTATTTCAACTGCTGTTTTTTCTGCTCATATGAGAATTGAATATGTTTGTTGCCACTGCCGTAATTTCCACCATGCTTACGTAAGATATTTTTTATTCCTCTATTTCCAGTGTGACTGCATTTAATTTTAAAGTTTCCGCATGTGAGAGAAAGATATAGTTTTTCTCCGTTGGATGTTTCCGGCATGCAGACGAGAACGTGATCTTGTAGGTGTCCTGGGACCTTAATGCGGCTGGTAGCAATTCCACCGACCGTCGTTCCCAAAGCGTGACGAATGGCGGCAGCGCCGCGTAAATGAGTCTCATTTTCTCGAAAGAGTCTGCTGGAAATTTCAACTGGCCGCCGTATTTTTCTTTCCTAGCGGGAAAACATCTCGATGCGGGACCGTAATCGTTCACGGTGACGCGCCGAGCAGGTAGTCGGAAATTGAACTCCGTGGAGGATGAATGCCACTCGAAATCGGGCCCGATACAGCACGTGGCCCTACTCTCTCGGGAATTCCCTTCTTTGCTGGGCCCCATTTCATATTTCAGGTTTTACTCGCCTGGAGAAGCGCGCGTTCATCGTGAGCAATGACTTCCTGCTCCTCGCGAAGTCGAGATAAAATGTGAGGGGATAGCCTTGGAGGTTCTTATGAAACAGATCGCGCCTGTCGGAAAACGCTGATCATTTACGGGGACCTGGGTGGCTTACGCTCTCATTACTCACCGGTGTTTGTGAGCGCGAAGCATCTCCGCAAAAATACGTGTTTATCCCCGCAGTTCCCCATTACGACCCTGGCTAAGCCGAAAGAAAGTCTCGCATTTGTTCCCCAAAGCTGGTCAAAACATTGAGAAGAAACCTTATAAGTCTGGAAGTGCTGCTTTCGTGAACTATTCCCATCCGAGATGGACGCTTGTCAGGCAGGCTACAGGACAGTACTACGGGTATCAAGATAATTTATAAAAACAAAATGCTTATTTTTTAGTCTCACATTTCGTCTCGCAACAGTTCGAAATTATTCTGTGGAAATGCTGGAGAGCTAGATTTAGGAAACAGAATGGTAACGTGGCAACTTCGAAGTACAGACATTTTTCCATTTCCATGTCATGTTTTATTGCTGCTAGTCTCGCTTCCATTGAAATTCGAGATAAATGCGCGAACATTTCGAAAAGCTCAGGTGTCCATCCTTTTTCACGTGAAGTACTGTAGTAGCGTCGCGGGTATTGTCCCGATTCCTTTTCAACTTCGTCCACATTTTTTGAAGTTCAACCAGTTGCACGAGGGTTCCAAATATACGTCATGAGGGGTCCCGCAGCTCCTCCAGAAAAGTTGAACGAATACAGTACAAGACGATCCCCATGGAATTAAGCATCCAGAATAGGGAGTTTCAAAACGCAGACAAGGTCATTTATGTCGGTAGAAGGTCAATGTTATAATTACGGAATACAGTATTCAAATTTCTGTGCGCTTGAACAATATTCTGTGAAGCATCGGAAACGGTCGTCGATTCACCGTATTCGCAAATATTGTACTCGCAAGAAATGATGTACGAGCTTCAGTTCAATCCAATCGAATCTGGCGATATTCAGCAATCCGGTATGCAGTGCTTTTATTGGATCAAGCGTTAGAATCACTGTACAGTATATGCTTTTCCAAAGAAAGGAACTCGGGACACATTCAGCGTGTTCGGGTACCAGTCAAAGTACTGTAGTAGAAAGCAACAATGATACTCCTGGATCTCGAGAGTCCTTCGTGAGGACTCTCGACATTTTACGGTACCGGTCGTTTTCAGACAAAGGAACATGGAGAAGAAGAAAATTAGATTGAAAAAAAAAAACCACTCACACAAAGCATCTGTTCGAAAAGCTACACTGTAGAAGTGTTGAGTTTCTCTCTATCATGACTCACAGAGTTCTGAATTTCAAGACCCTGCATATCTTCAAAATGTCTGGCGTTTACATCCCCACAATCCCGATTTTTCTTCAACCTCTTCGATGAACCTGTCTCACACACTTCCTAGTCAGAAGACGGCGTAAAATATATTCTGGTCCTGTGTCCATGTGATATGCTGGGATCCCATGTCGATGCTTCCAAAACCAAATCTAGTAGAGCTCTGAGACGAGCTTCTGTGTTGCCGGCAGCGTCGAGTCTCGTGTGGCATCCTTCTGGGAATCCGACCCGACTTCACTCGAAATCCTCATCAAAGGTCAATCACTTCCTTATTAAATGCCCCGCGGCTCTACTGTTTGGAGAAGTACCCGTCGTTGCTGAGTCCCTTTGTTGTTGTCTCCGGTGTTTTGGGCTTTAATAAGAGACGACTTCGCCGTGATTCCACCCGAATTTAATATGACTCTTCCCCGTCGGCTTTGTCAACAGCATTTCTATCTCAGCTTCATTTAAGTGATCAGCTAATCGATCAAATAATGGACTCCTGATCGACCCTAGAGAGATCTCTTGGTTCACATTCGCCATAATGTTGTTCTTTCAATCTTCGAAGCACATGTTCTACATGCACAAGGAAATGTTGCGGGTTAGTTTAAGAGATACGAGGTGCTTGTTCTACAAGTCACAAAAAATTACAACTATTTCGGGTGTCACCTAATGGTTTTTTTTTTTTTTTTTAGGAAAAAGCACTATATATTGAAAGCTAATGAACATGGGATATGATCAGAAATTGAGGAACCTCTATATTGGTAATATCTGGTGAGCATCGCGGCTAACTCATGCGTACGTGTTCAGTCAAGGATTTTCGAATTCGGCCTAGTATGAGTTCCGTTTTCGCTAGAATTTCCACATGGGTGCTCAAATGGCTCATCTCTGGTACAACAACTTCTGCCCGAAAATGTTCGAAACCAACTTTTCACGAGCAACACAAACGTCCGTCGTGAAATGTGAAAAGTTGTTTCTAAATTGCTTCTCTAAGTTTCTCATTTTATTTGTAACTGTAACGGCAGTGAAGCAAAATTGTGCATCTTCAATTTATGCTTGCATTTATTGATTTAATTTTTTCATTGTTTCTCGAATTTCTTCGTTAAATGCTTCTGTGTAAAATTTTTCATTGTTTCTCTAATTTCTTCGTTGAATGCTTCCATGTTCCAATCCGAATAATGGCGAACAATTTCCTCAATCAATAAGTTGCTGAAAATAAGCAGCAGTGTATCATCAAATACAGCGGCACTTCTGAAATAACCCACGGATGCCTGGCAGCAAAAATTATTTCACCGTTGAATATATTTTTATAAATTTGATGAAGTTTTGGAGTGATGAACTTCACCTGTGTACACGTGTGACGCCTCGTTCTGTATTTTGAATTACCTTGAAAAATAAAGTGCATCGTCATCGGATTTCGTCTCCGCGCCATTTTTTCCCCACGAGAATTTCAGTTGTTGGTCTGAAATCGAATCCAGAATTGCGAAGTTATTTTGAACGCTGTCCCCGGTTTCCGTCTCGCCGTCCTAATTTTTTTCTTCTCCTGTTCAGAGCATCAAGGATCTCAGACTCTTCCGCTGAAGCGGTGATATTTAGTGTAGGGCAACGAGCCCACAAAGAATTTGAATGAATAGAAGAATAAAATAAATGAGTAAAAATGCACATTCCGCCGGGGAACACGGCAGGGAGCCCTTCGGTAAGGACTCCAAAGAGAAGTAAATTGTATTTCAAAGTAATGAGATGAAATATTTGGAAAAATCACAAGTGCGAATCTCAGAGTAAAAATACGAATTCAGAATGCACAAGACAAATTCTTCACACATCCGAATGCTTCGAGAATAGCGAACGTAATGCAAAATAATTCATCGCGAAAAGAGACAAGATTTTCGATTGCGCAATTTGCGGCAGTGGGAGCTTCCAAGGAACTTCCCACTGCCGCATTCCAACAGTTTGGGTTTACAACTTATAATAATCGTGCGGTTTTTTACTTTACTGGTTTCGTGGGACGTGCCCTCTGTGCCCCACATTTAGTGTACATTGTGAGATCACCTGAGGTTGTGGGGATCCCTTTGGAGACCAGACTGCGATGTGGTGTGGAAATGAAAGTTAACGAGACGCTATTGTGTTTGTGTCGAGTGGCCGTCTATCTTCGTCTTGTTAATGTTTACGACGTCAAGTTCGCGTCGTGTTTCTCTGAAGACAGCTGTCGAGCACTCTGCCATGCCATGCGATTGCGTTGCATACAAAAAGGTTTGTCGAAAGCTAAAATGCACGACCCACGTATAATGAGGGAATGGCAGACAATATGGGTAACCTCCACCTCCATAGGTTCTGAGTGGAAAGTTGTTACCTTGTGTTTCGAGTTACCTGGCCTAATTCCTTTGCTCGTGGGACAGAGGTCCCTTTGTGACGGCACGCGAGTATAAATGCAATACGCCCCCCTCCGCCGTTCGTGTCCCAGTTCCGCACGGGGTTGTCGCTGGCTGTGCAGATGGGATTTTGCCACTGCCCGGCCATCGGATCAATACGTGGCTTATTGGGAGCCAACTTCGAGGGCATTGATAAGGCGCACGCTTTTGTTATCCCTGCCCCCGTGCGCGGCTATTTCATGAATCTCTAGTCCTACTTTTCCTATCGGGCCTGTTGGGGATCAAGAAAAAAGCCCCTTACTTTCCAACTGCCACCGGCTGACATTTAATTCGTATTTCTTCCGCGTATTTCTTCGAACTCGTCCCGAGGATATATCCGAGAAATCATGCGAAATCCGTGCGTCCCGATTCTGTCAGGCCGGCCTAGATCAGCAGCAACGTCAGGAGCTCATCTTTCCGTGAACGTTCAAGTTCGTATCACAAATACTTCTCCTCTGGACCTGCGTTTCGGAAATTTCACGAATTCATTTGAAGTCTCCGCCATTTTCTTTTACGAAAGCCGAAAGGATTTTGAGCCAGTAAAAAATAATGGATGACGGAGTTTGTACTCCACACTTCAGAGCCGTGTTAGCAGAAACTTACAGTACTAGTCACGTCCTTGAGCTGTATTATATGTAATTACTAACTTAATAGATTGAGGGCAAGACGCACCTTCGAGTTGTAAGGGAACATTTTCGGCCTCCACTTGTTTTTCTGGAAAATTAAAAAAAAATTTTGAACTTTTTTGAAGCCCTTTTAGAAATATTGTCTTGCGAGTTCGTGGTATTCAAGAGTAGAATTTTGTTTCCCTTGGGTTACGGCAAATTACTTGTCGACTATTTGTATGTCTCACTTTTATTTTCAATTCCCCTTTTATTGCTTAAATGCTCGAGGATCCTCCAGGAAGAAGTGAAGCTATCCTAGCTTTACACAGCACGAGGGGAGAAACAACGCTGTTGTGGGTAATTTTTCAGCTGCCACTAGATGAGTGTTGGAAAATAGACAAAGGAAACAGTGACCTGATACGTTGTACGTTCAGTGATGATGATGGGATGTTCAGTGAGTTGAAAACGCGCTGCGTCGTGGTAAGCGTTCCCTGCGTTTCTTGTAAAACGCTGTTGCGATAGGGTTCCAAGGATGGCAACCTTGATCATGGAGGAGATAATGCCGGGATTTTGTGGACTCTCCTGCTGACACAGAGCCCATTAAGGGCTTCTTTTGTTGGACGCCCCGGCGGAGCAGAAAATCTGACAAGAGGATGCATCCGAATAAGAACGGAGTCGAAGGTGCGAGTAAAGCCGGGTATTCCCCGTCAGTAATTTCGGCTGCCTCCATCAACCTCGCGGTGACAGAAACTCAATTTCTGACGACGCGCTTTGGCAAAGCCCAGTTGAAAGGAAGCCGGCGTTCCCGTCCATTTGGGTTTTCCCCGCTACTATTGCTTCGAAGGATAGCTTTCCTTCAAATGGCCGCGGAATATTCGCGTCGGAACAGATCGATGGGACCTAAGTGGCGAGGGATCCCGTTTGCGATCAACGCGAATGAAGCGGAAAATGGAATAGTCGACAGTAGTTTGTGGGCGAACCCGGACCCGATCTTCCTTTTATCTGTTTGTATCCGTCCACTCTTGTGGCCCCCTTGCCCAAGCCTCTCAATCAAATGCCTCCTTCGGCGAAGAATCATTAATGGAATTTATGCGTATCTTGGACGAGGAAGAATGCCGTGTAAATTGGAAGAAGCTTCTGTGAAATTTCAGATCCAGAGCATTCCTCAAGTAGCAATCAAATATGCATTATTTACAGAAATAAACAGGAGAAAACAGTGCAGTATGAAATAAAATCCGTCTGATCGTTTCATCATTAGATGTCATCGACTATGTCGATGATGTACATTTTGACAGGGCTTTTAACATAGATATGGATTTTGCCATATTCAGTATGTTTCGCTGTTCACGAACAAGATGCTACAGTAAATTCAACATAAAATGCAGGTATTCACGTTTTTCTCTGAATCACCTCGATCCCTCCTTCGTTCAACATCAGTTAATGAGACAGAAATCGACACCCGAACAATTGACAATTTTCATCATCATGTTGCTACAGGTCGATGAAATTGGCCAACGACAGTCAGTGAAAGTATAAAGAATAAGTTTTCATACTTGAGTTAGGTTCCAAATAAGTCACGTTGATCGATAGGTTCAGTAGTGGACGGTTTCCAGGATGCGCTAACTTGAAACGTTTCGGCTTTGATCGAAGATTCATGAAAATAATGAAAGTGATCGCTACGTCATCAGCTGAATTCGATGAATTTGGTGAACCCTGTATCCACATCTGGTGAAAGTTGAGATACTTTTTTCTGGTTCTTGCTCTCTTGATAGTGAAGTTTGCCCCGGCGTGTGTTCAAAGGTTTGGTTGGCGATTTTCTTGAGTGTTGAATCAGTGATTTTTTTCATTCTGTAAGATCGATTTAAATTTTGCGCATTTGGTGCCGTCAAGTTTAGCTGGTCGCCCTTGTGGACCGAAAGCGTATTAGCTGCGGGGCTCTGCTGTGACAGGTTCCGCAAATACAATCCAACGGCATTCAGTCCTCTGCAAACCATAATGAAGATGAATCTCGCCCGAGACTTTCATCTGACGTTGCGGGAAGACCCGGTTTCCGTCGACAATTAGTCGAATGCGGAAATCCGCGTACTTCTGCAGATTAAAGGGCTATACTGCCTGCGTATTGATGATTCCACCGCTGGGATCTAGGGAAATTGGAATTCATGAGCGTAATAACCCGACGGCGGGGTCGATGCTGCCCTTCGTACGTGTCCGACGGAATTGGATCTGGTTCTCCATTTTCATGTGTACTCCAGCCTTTTCTCGTTGTCAAGAAATTGATATCTGCTGACGGACGGCGGACGAGTCCGTCTGTCATGCGTGTTGTACCGGCCCGTGCCAGCGGCTAACTGACGATTATTCCTGCCAAGTTCAAGTCTAGCGTGTGCAGAGGTTTTAAATTAGATCTGGATTGATCAAGCGCGCCGTGATGGTCCTATTTTTGCGTCGTCACCGGCCGTGGTGGCGTGTAACCAGCCGTGCGGACTGACGGAAATCGAGTTTTCTGGATTTTCCCCGAGAAAAATGTGTGCACTGCGCACGTATGTGAGTGTTGCTTTTTGGTGTCGAGAAGGCCCATAATTCCATTTGCCGGCTCCTGGCATTCTCTTATCGTCCACGGTTCCTCAGCAAAACAACGTCCGGAAACAAGCGAGCCAAAATCAACTGTATTGAAAGGATGCGAGAAGTCCGGCCAATGCGCGTTGCCCTTCTCGTGTCTTCGTAATTGAATCTTAAACTGCCCCGATCTCCATCGAGTGTCCCTTGATTCACACGACCAGAATGTCATTCGTGGAAACATTTTATTGCTGTCCGTGCTTTTCTCGGCCATGCAACCTTTGTTCTGATTGCGTTAAAATTGCATTCGAGGGAATAAGTGATTCTAGACAGCTTCTGGAAGAACTTTCCAGTCTTCTTCTGAATTGAACCACTTCCTTGCTGGCCTCCTGTGTGAATAACCAAGTTTCACTTTGACACGAATTAAGAACGCAGTGCTTCATAATTTCTGCTTTTCATACGATTAAACGTTATACCTACGTAGTTCTTGCATTTTCTCGAGAGAATTTCTTAAACTTCAATCACAATTTTCTTTCTTATTTGTTCCATTCAAATTTTAAGGCTATTTCGCCTCTGTTCAGTTTTCGAATGAAGCACCTCCTCGCAAGGTTCTACCAATGGTACGCTTACAACCGGTTAAAACCCCTGGTCTATGTGACTATGTCTGATGTTTTTATTCCGTTTTATTTTCCTTCTCTCCCGGAGTAGCGCATGTTGATGAAGCCGTTTCAAAGGTACACGTATTTCGTATTAATTCGCATCGAAAAGCCTGAAAGGTGCACTGTATTTACGCCGAATCGAGTGGGAGGTGGCAATCAAATGCTGGCGATTTAGTGGGCGTGGATAGATTTATTTCGTGTAGACGGGAGGTGTTTTAAAATGGCATGCGTTTGTTATGGAGGAAGTTAATCGTTTGGTGATGGCGGTCGTTCATGTTTTTCGTATTCGGTGTGCTTGGTGAAGCAGGGCTGGCCGAAGGCCAAATCCCGGACGATCATGCCCCCTTCGAGGGCTAATCCGCGCTACCCGAACCGCATTTCCACGAACGGGTCCTGTGAGGGTCAAGTGTCCTCCACGTCGGCGACGAATGGTAATTGCGGTCCACCGCAGGCCGCCTGCACAGGCTCTCTAGCCCCGGGTTACCTGCGCCAAGAACCTGGGCCACTGCCACCCGCGTCGTCATGCACTGCTGCACCGCCGCCCCCGGGGGTCGCGCCGCCCTCCGCCCCCAAGCCCTGTCGGCCGAAGGTGACGTCGGTGTGATCAATGTTGACGACTGTTGTCGTGCACGCTTGTCGTTGATTCTGCCTTGCTTTGTGTTTGTAGTCAGTTCACTTGCATGTTTAGCCTCTTCGTGGCTTGTTGAAGATCACGATATGGTCCCTGTTGATTGCATACCTCGCATAGACTACTCGAGTCATGCACCGCTGAGAGAACTACACTTTCGCACTCACGAACCGAAATTTTTTTCTCGCTTCTTATCCAGATTATGTGTACAGGGAAAACGTGGTTTTTCCGCGCTATGATTACCCCGAATCGGGTGCTTCTTTTGAAAAAGCAATCATGAGAAATTTAGAATGATCAACATAAGTACCCGGAAGATCAGAACGGATTAGGGAGTCAATTCATGGTTCGAATGTTTTGAATTGATGTGAAATTTAGGCGCCAAGAAAATATATTGCGGACTTCCCAAGTCCATCACGGAGGCACGGACTCTGTAACTTCAAAATTTGATCCTTGCTTATGTATAAACTTTCTGAAGATTTCTGCTCAACAATTCATGGTTCTATCTCCTGACTCCTATGATGTTCAGAGAAAAGGCGTAAGCGCTTCAAGTCGAATGACGCCTTTCCATCATAAAAGTGCGACGTCGAAACCATCGCGATTGTTGTGCAGAATAACTTTTATTATGTCACGATGCATGCGTCTAGAGTTTGTTTTTTATTCTTCTCCAAACTTTCCGTGGATCCCTCCGTTGAAACTTTCAGCTCGCAGCATATCTTTTGTGTGCTGATGAACATGCGAAGTTGCACGTTCTTACTCTTTATTGGCCACAGCGAGGGTATTCGTAAGCGCATATTTCCTGAGTGCCTGAGGTTGTTTTCGCCATACCCAAAGGATTTATTAGCGAAGTATTGGGAGAGTTACGATCTTGAAGTCTTCTTTGTAAAATAAGTGGCTTTTTATTCTGAAATTATGCGGAGAAGTTTTTTCTCAATTGTTCAAGTTTCTAGGTTGAAGCAATCCTTGGTCTCAAGCTTATTGAGGTCTTTTTTTATTTTAAGCCCCGAGCTTCTTTTTTGAGGCGTGACAAGAGTTCTGAGGCGGAAAAATGTGCTTTCTTTTATCCGCCAAAAGACGCTTGAGGCTTTTCAGAAAAACTCCAGGCTCTGATCTGTCATTTCAGCATTCCTGACCTTGTCTCCGCGTTGTAACTTCGTTTTGAATTAAACAATCGATGGGAAATCGTGAAGATAAATTATTGGCATCTTCGTGTTTTTGTCGTAAAGAATTCTGTTCGCTGGAAAATCTATTTTCCGTTCATTCTGGCGTTGTTTGGATGCATGAATAAAAGTCCAGACTCCCATTTTAGGAATTATGTGTAGGAGTTGAACTGGATGAAATTCTCTCAAGTTTCCGGAAGCTTTCCGCTATTTTTTGCTTTTCCGTGAACTGTGATATGAACGCAGTTGTAGATCATTTGCCTTGGAAACCTCGTCGAGAGAAATTTTTGCTTTAGCTCTTGGATGTAAGTGGCTTATGGATGCTGGCGAGTTCAGCTAATTTATGCATTAGTACGTGCCGTTCTACTCAGGGGGCTTGGGGGAAATCTTCTTGAGAGATTATGAAATGAGAGCTTTTTTTTTATTCATTATTCCTCTTCGTTCTGTTCATGCGATTAGCTTATTCCTTCTGATGCGGAGTCCGGAGACGGAACTTGCTCTCGGTTTGTGCGATAGAAGTTACAATCCAACTTCTACGGAAACATTGCATAGAAATTACCGTCTCGCGATACATTGAAGTTATCACAAACGCGTGGAGAACGGCCTGTGTTTCCCGTGAAGTGACTGCTTGATCGTGCGAGATTTGACATGGCAGCTTATTCAACCTTTGAGAGATCAGAGGACATATTTTTCGTTATAGTTTAGAATTAGATTGTTTTCGATCTGCACTTTTTCGACAGGATGCGTTTTTTGTCTGTCGCATCCTCAGTCGACGCCGTTATTGTCCGTTGTGTGATTTTAACTCATTAAGCACGCAGCGAGCAGCGACTTTTGTCAAGTAGTAGTCGCTCTTGAAAGTTGGTTCCCGCGAAACTTTCCGGCCCGTCTTCAGATAGATTAGAAAAGCAGACGCTGATATTGAACATAATTCCTGGGGTGCATGCAATCGATAGTGAAGTTTTCTTGGTTCTATTCTGTTGCACGTGCCACGGCATTCGTCAGGGATGTAAGATTGAAGCTGCTCTTTGGTTTCTATTCCGCAGGACAAGGAGCCAGGCGCTGGGAAAAAGAAGGGGAAGTCGAAAGAAGGTGAGTCCCCTACGTTCGTTTATCATGCTCGGCCTGCCGTGGTTATGGGTAAATGAGGAACGGGCGGATGAATCGCGGAGCGAGGGATAGAAGATTAATGCCCCACATTCAGACGCTAATATCGTTTGCGAGCTCGGAGCAGCGATGATCCTAACTGATGCGTTGGAGCTGTAATTCATTGGCCAGTCGCTTGATTAATTGTGTGCGCAGGGATCTGTCAGCCTCGTGTGACACGCGAGTAGCGCCAGTGACTCTATTCGTCTGGCTCGTGTTGTGTGCCGGAGTTATTCCCCGGAATAACTGGCGGTTCATTAAGTCAACAACAACTCTACTTCCCGTGTGTAATGGCATTGTCTGATGTTCCCTGCTCTGCGGATTCAATTTCTCGTTGTTTTGCTTGGGGGAAACACTGATTACCCACGCTACTCATTGTAAACCGGTTGGTCTGCTACGATGTGTCGATCGAGACACAATTTTCATACGTACTCCTATCCTAACATAGTTAACCACCCGCGATGTCGGAATGCCGCCATTTCGTTTCTTCGTGTTTGCCTCCGCATGGAAAAACTCCTGATCATGCAGTTTGATATTTCGGGTGTAACACGCGAAGTTGCGCTTCGGCTCATTTTTCGTGTCCACCTGGCAGGAAAACAGTAAAAAGCTCCTGCTGCGTGTTACGCGTTTTGCGGTAGTTTTTCAGTATATTTTAACCGTCCTGATGAAATTCGTCAAGATTTGTATGCGTGGTGGGCATCGATGACAAGCAGTGTATCTGAATATAGATCTCCGACCGACATGCAAAACTATGTGCGGTTATCTGATAGCATACAATTTTGATTATGTTAACAGATTATTTGTTGTAAGTTTTTTATTCGAATTTCAACTCATGAAACTCTTTCATTCGTCCTGGGAAAAAAAAAGAAAATTGAGCTGTTGTATAGTTAAACTTTTTTGAAAGCGAATTGAATGTGGGACGAATTCTTACTGAGTAGGAAGCGGCGTCGCGCCACTTCATTGCGTAATCTTCCAGTTCATTTTCGCTTGATGGCTAAAACACTGACTGAGGACGAAGTGCTTTCTGTATTGATGGACCCCTTGGGTGTCTCTGGCATTTGTCGTGGAATAATTCCGAACGGCTCGACGATTCGGAATCCGTTGGGTTATTGTTTTCCAGCGACGCGGCGGAATTCGAGTCTTGTTGTTGCCTCCAGTCGTCCTACAGTAATGAGAGAGGAATTCTTCCGGAGATATTCCCTAGGGCCTCGTGCTCTCGATTGAGCCGTGTCGCAGTGTCGCGGAATGAGCCGATGTAAACGGCCCAGCGCGTGCAGGTCCTCCTACTCGGTTTGCTCGATATTCCCGGCCCAGTTTTCATGGCTGCACCTCTGAACGGGAACACAGGGTTTGAAAAATCTTTTTTTTCTTCACGATTGCACAAATGTTGAACCGAATTCGATCCTGGAAATCGAGTGGCATTTATTTTCAATTTTTGTGTGTGAAAGAAATACTATACATTAGTGAACTTGTTTCTTGTGCCTATGCGCGAAATTGCGTCCTTGTGTGGATGCACTACGCTCGTATCCCGAGTCCCCTATTTTAGTTTCTTAACATTCCTGTTCCTAAAAGCTTCGTTCACTAATGAAAACCTTTTTAAAAGATTACTGTCTGGCAGATTCTCTTAAAGCTTAAACCTACCGTATACTGTACCTTGAATTATTAATGTTGCCCCCAAAAAATGTATTTGCTGTTTGTCGTGGTTTTCACCGTCCTTGCCTATTATTCGTGGGTTATAATTTATGCTTTTCAAGTTTCTTCAGCTCATCGGAAATGAATTCTGACTTAGTGGCAGAGAAGCCAAATTTGAGAACCACTTTTCTAGTTAGCCCCTTCCGGATTTTTCTGCAGATCTCCTCAACATTACTGGCTAGAATAAATGGACTGCGCGTTGAGTTTACAAGATAGTAAAAACACGCTGCACTGTATATATACTGGGTATTAAAGTTAGAACAAGCAAAATATTCACGCAGAGCATTGCTGACAGAGCAGACTTGCTGCCGAGTAACTTGTTCCAAGCGATAATTGCAGGGAATATGATCGAATTTAAAAACTCTATTGATCTCGTGTTTTTGAGAAATGTTCACCCGGAAGACAGCACCGTATGTCCGGAAATGGCGAGATGAGTCTTTAATCCATCTTAATCACGTTTTTGCTGGAAGCAGAGATGTTTTTTGCCCCATTTCCCTTCCGAAGCCTAGTGAACTTCGCCGAATTTTCCCTCCGCTGTTGCGATTGTATATTGAAAACCGATGTAGCAGCCCTCCTTGTAAGTGTTCTAGGTGTACCTGACTTGATTTATTGATCGTTACGATGGAAAGAAGCCCGGGGTATCGGCAGAGATAGTGTATGCACGCGTGCTCCCGCAGCGCTACGCACCGGTGTAATTCACCTCGGCTGTCATCCGAGTGCAGCCCGGCATGTAATGTCATTTTGAAAGAGCAAGGGCCCGGATGGTAGGATCGTTGCGGTCGTGAAGAGGGCATCGACTTTTTTTTTTTGTGTCTTACCGTCATTCTACGGCCCCCAAGAGAGCCAAGTTTTGGAGAAGTGTCCATAAAATAAACGACGGAGTGAGGTCGCAGCGGTATAAAGGATCCTCTACTCTCGGAGATCATGACGGGAGACGCGGCGTGTCCTCTTTCCTCTGGGGAAATCATGGATATCGTCGTCTGTCCGGCGGTGTTTTTCCCTTGCCCTCATTTGTCGCCGCTTTTCCGGAGTAATGCTACAGTACAGTAGTTCCATTGAAAGGTTGCCGATAAGCATGTTCTTGTCTCCGAGTACTGCATTTGTCGCTTTGGAAATCGGTTCGGAAGCGCTCGTCACGTTCCCCGGAAGCGCATTTGCGCCACTGGCATATTGATCAGCGCGGAACCCAAAACGTTCCCAAAGCGTGTCGCGCTGCCAACGCGGAATATCGAAGGGGGGCTTTTGTACAGGGGGCGTCTGCAGAGCTGGAATAGCTGTGACAATGACTGGTGACAGGTAAAGGCAGGCCGTATATCTTTTTTGAACTCTTTCCATGCCATATGTTGCTCCGCGGCACCTCATTTCCGTCCCCCTCATATTTCTCCGCAGCCCAGGCAATCCCAGGGGATTGCAACCCGTTGGCGAACCGGACGCCTTTTCAGGCTTTTGCTTGCTGCTCCCGCTGTCTAATGTTTTCCCAACTGGTGATGCAGCTTGGTAATCCAGACTATGATTACCAGTGGGACAGTAGCTCGAGTGTCTTGACAAAGCTATGCGGGGGAATCCGCTCCATATGTCCATCGTTAGCTTTTCAATGAAAGTCCTCTCATTTCCTTGCCCCGCCACGTTTCAATCTTTCTCATTGTCTTCAATGTAGGTCTGCTCTTCATGTAAATTTGGTATTCTATTCTTGTGATGAAATTGCATAGGATTCCTGGGGCTGGTAGTTCCTTCAGTATATGCAGATGAAGAATCTTGCGCAGCATTATCGACGAATTACCAGTAATTTACGTTTTCCACATCCGTCGAAACGTCGTTTTCTCTCAGTTTTCGATGATTATGGGGTAATACGAAATATTCATGTTCCCCAACAATTTTTGGAAGAAACGATGTGCGCAAATATTCTCTCGGGCTGCATTCTCTAAATTTCATCATTTGCATGCCATTTTTTTTATCGAACGAGCAATCTGTTCTAAGTACAGATCGGATGAGGATTATGAAAATATCTTAGTGGATTAACGTTGTACTGGCATGTAGGAAATCAGACCATATTACTGTGTTTCCCTTGAATAATGATCTGTTCTGCATAACTTTCTCCTTCTGAGGTTTCTCACTGTACTGAACTAAATAAACCCGTGGTACTAACATTTTACCAAAATTTTTGTAGAATGAATTCCCAAGTACTCGCGTATGGCTACGGGTAAAAGATCCTCGCGGCGTGGTGAGCATTTATGGAACATCTCGCGGACTGACATCGAAGAACTGACACATCTGATCAAGCATTTGTAATCAAAGATTTCGTTGATATAAAAACTAAGATTTTTTTGCATGGATGGTAGTTGAAAAGGTGGAGAAGTTTGCTTATTCCATGCGTGTGTGTTTTCATCACTCACTGCTCTGTTCGGGGAAACGAGACAGATGCCTTATATCACTGACGACAGCTCCCAAAAATATAGTCGACGGATTGGTCGATTCTTCCGTCGGACAGTAGCAAATGTCGCTATCTTTTCCGTCTCGAGAAATCTGGAATCGATGGAGAAATAATGAAGTTCCCACGAATGTGTGGTCTGGTTGATTCCGAAGAAAATGTGGTCTATTTAGGCTATTATATCAGAATCGATTTCCAGAGATAAATTTGCGGGAGCTACAATTTATTGGATAGTTGTTATTGGTCAATACATTAATTTCTGTACGGATTCTGCTCGCGATGGATATCTGCTGGTGTGTCCTGTCGTGTACGTGACACATCCCAGTGCATATAAATTTGCACCCGGTGGCTCAAATGGAAACTCGCGTGCCTATGCAGAGTTGTGATTTTTTTTTCGTTGAGCTGGTCTGGATAAATCTGCTCCCGGGTTAGTCGGAATGGGCTTTCGCATGAAACTCGCGAGGGATTTTTTTGTGACGGATCGGTTCATTATTCCTCGTGGAAAACGCCACGATGCTGTCACGGGCCTTGCTCCGGAAAAGGATCCCGAGGGTGCCGGAATTCCTTGGACGAGGGATTCCGCCGGTGACCGGAAAAATCGTCCTTGAAGAAAACATCCCTGTGAACAGCGGAAACGGGAATTTCGAGAGGTTTGGAGCTCCGCTTTCGGAATCACCTTACTTGCGCTGGAAAGCCGTTCGTTTCATACAAGAACCCCGGCGTTTTCCGTTCGAAAAGGGATTCCCTAGGCATCCTCGAAGGAACAGTTGAGTCTTACATGAAAATGCACCCGTCGTCCGACCAGTTTTCGGCCGATGTCGAATGCTTGTACGATGTCAGTTTGATGAGCGAAAGTTACATTTTCCGACATCCTACGCAAATAGTTTTTTCTTAGTCAAATATTCTCATTTTGTAATTCCTCTCTTCTTGATGAATCATAAACGTCGGGAGTTAGTTCGAAAATTTTCTTTCAATGTTTGAGGAACGAGAGAGGTTTGTTGAGCATCAAGGTTGAATGTGTGTCTACACTGGGCGCTGCATCTAAATTTGCGAGCGCTGTGCGGATTGTTAAGAACTTTAATGTTCCCTCCTGATTTATTGTATTTATGGTGAAACTCAGTACTTCTGTAAGACTTGCAAAGAAATAAATTGAAAAGATGTAATGGGAATTCAAGATGACGTGGATTCAGTCACAAGAGATGCATATATTTTTCTCAAGTCTTCGCTACGTTGTCAGTTACTTGAGATATGCGAATAAACTTTCTTTTTAGCAATCTCATGCCGTCTCAGGCATTGCAACATCAACTTTTCTTCGCAGAATGACTAAACCTGGCCCAGGCATTCAAGTTTCATCGAATTTGGAGCGTAACTTGTCTGCTAGCAGATGAAAGCTGGGACGGAAATACAAGAGAAGCACACTTCTATGACGACTGATATTAGGTGCATAAAGGCAGTTACAAATCAATTCTCCCTTGCGTCTCAAAAGGCATGTACCACCAGACTTCGAACTTCGGCAGTATCCTTAACGTTACTGGAGTTTTCTGGGTATCCGGAACATAAATTCTAGGGAAATGGTAAAACTTGATTCCTGCTAAATGTATCTAATCCTACCATGTAATACTGCCGAAATTCTTTTTTTTTCGTCCAGCCAAACTTTTTGAAGTCGCGTGCTGTATGGTCTAAATTTTTATTATTTCGTGACATAAACAAATGTATCGCTTAGCTGGCTTTCCTAACTTTGTGTCTCGCAGTTAATGCACTGACAAGGGATTTCTCCGCAATATGTTCACTCCTCAGAAGTGCAAACTGGAACTTCGAGTCATTTGTGTGTCTTGCTGGCGTAGTTTCTTTTCGCCGCAATGGCTTCTATATTCCTGGAAGTTACTCTGGAGCATTTTCCACCGCAGAATCATTGTCCCTACATCGCTCGCATTACTGCGTGCAGTACCGCTTAGAAAACTTTATCGACTTTCTTTGTGCCTTCAGTCGAGAAGTTACTGCTGCTCGTGCAATGCAAATTGAACGCGGTAAACTGCTGCAACCGCTATTTACTCGCTGTCGGGATAAGTTTCCCGAGCCCAGCGGCCGAGTTTTCCGCAGGATAATTCCGTTTTATTCACTTTTCTGAAGGTGTTCCGTGTGCGCGAGTGAGATTCGTTTCATTTGATGAGCGGAAGAACAGGAAGGAAAGTTTATGAGAACGAATTTGCCGTCATTGAGGAAGGGTTGCTAGGCCGCGTGCCAGGCTTGCCTCATGCGATAATAATGGTGGGTCTACGACCCGGTTGAATGCTTAGGTAGACAGGCATTTGCGTGCTGCACGAGAGGAAAGCTGCTTTTTTTCTTTATTACTTGACGACGAGAGTTCGTGTCGGGTACGAAAGCTGAGGAGAAACGGCGCCGACCCTTGAAGGTACACGGGCCGATATTCGACGCTATGTCGTTATTGTATGTGCGGCACACGCTCATCTTCCTAGCGGAGGATGATCAAATAAATTGGGTTTGCCTCGCGCGGGACGCCAAGTAATCTAGGAATTCATCGCGTGAGACTTTCATCTGATCTCGTTCTGTTTTGTCTTGTTCCTTCCTATTCTTCTGCAATTCTCCGGGCGACGGTGCTGCTATTTTTTTGACGGAATGCCTACCGGTGAGTGTCTCCTTGTACTATCTTGCTTAAGTCCGTGGCGACCGCGATGCGTTCATTTCGATGCAACGTTGTGGCCAAAGCAAGAAAGCCTCTTCATCCCGATTAATCTCATTCGAGATCTCGATGTTTCTCGTTGTATCTTCGACTGTTGTGTTGTGGCATGCTTGGTTCGCTTCCTGACGCGCTTTGGGCTTGAGCGTGTCGGACCGGGGACTGACGAGTTATTTTCTCCTCCTCCCTTAGGAATTCGCCGTCATGAACCATCAGTACTCATCGAAGGCGTATTGTTCCGGGCCCGGTATTTGGGATCAACGCAGCTAGTTTGCGAGGGTCAGCCGACTAAGGCGACGAGGATGATACAAGCCGAAGAAGCAGTATCCCGGATAAAGGTCAGTGTTCGCTTTCCTTTTCATGTGAGTTTTTTTAGTTCTCCGATGACGCTGCGCGCTCGCACTCATTTCGAGTCAGTGGTAGTTTCCGTTCTCGTCGAGTCGATCTGGTGTCAACACTTGCCACTCGAACCTCGCGGGATTTTAGGAGTGTCCTGACCTTTCCGAACCCGAGCTTGTGATTGTCGCCAGTTTCAAATCCCTCAAGATTTATTGAAACTAAAAACGATAAGCGGGGTGTCTGGATTCCGCGCGCTTTCCAATTTTTAAATTCCAGAATGCCGTACAGTAGGAAGAGATAAAGTGACAGTATATCAGGCAAGGTACTGATGACTCCGAAGGATCAATTGGATCATTCCCTACTTTCCAATTTCATTTTCGAGTGTTTGTACCCATTCAGTAAATTGAGTGCTTAAACAGGTTGATGGTCTTTCATGACTTTCTGTGGCCATTGCTAATTTACCCAGAACCTGTCGGATATTCTGTGGTTTATAAGTTTAAAAAAATCAGAAGTGGAAATTGAGAAAAAAAAAACGAAGAAGTGTTGAAACTGAACTTCGTGGAATGCTTCACTTTTTATTCAAAAAGATTCTGATCGATAGAAAGCATATTTGAAAAATTGGTCAGGAATTATCACTCCAATAATATGTATTCGGAACAGTGTTTTTGCTTCTTTCATTGACTTCGCGTGGGAATCAGACACACTCTGGACTTCGCTATACTGTATATTCCTGGCTCATGAAGTTCATGATGGTTTTAATTTTATTCCATTTTTATTTCTCCTGAGTTACAAGGTATTCTCCTGAGTTACAAGGTACAAGGTACTCAGGGTAGTTTTTTTTTCAGAAAGGCTGGATGGGATATAGGATCCATTTTTTTTAAATATTGTATTTTATGCTCGTTTCCCTTGCAAGTACGGTATGCGCTTCATTGCCACTGGCGCCTCACTTGCTTGTCCGTCTTATTTTTATGTTCGCAAAGGAAATGCGTTCTAGGTACACTTATTCTGTACAGTATTTACTTGCTAATCACGCGTGATTCGTGCAACAAAATAGCCGATAATACTGTAATATAACGGAAGATGAGTGAGGATGTGCAGTGTCGGATTTTTGTTCCTGAAAGGCGAGTAGAGTAGTTAGACGTCGGTTGAAACGAGAGCGTTGTGTTTGATTGGAATTTGAGACGTAGCATAGTTGGGCTCAGACGCGGGTTGCGGACCTAATAGTGCATCTGATGATCGAGCAAACGAGCGTCGTGCGAACCGGGGTTTTCCGCCACAGATTCCGACCATAAACCTACGCAGGAAACTAGCGATTGCGGGAAGCCGTTGCAGCCGCTTCCTCCGAGGAAGCTGCTGGAATGGCTAGGGGAAGAAGTAAGGGAATATGCCGGGATTTAATGACGGAGTGATGTTGGACCGAGAAACTGTTAATGGGTTTAGAAACCGAGGCCTGTGCATCTCGGGCCGGAGCTCACGACGGCTTTCATTCTGATCCTTCGGGGGCGGGTTCTTCGTCGATTGAGTCGGTGTGCCGAGTTGCGAACGGGCTGCTGTCAGCCAGCATACGGATCCCCCACCTGCGTCTAGAGTTCGTATTTGCAAGCAGTGCGTTGAAACCCCGCGGCAGCTCTTCCTTCCGTTTTTCTTTTCGTTTGCACATCCACAACCGCTTGTTTCCACCGACTTCGATTTTGACTGTGCTGTTACTGACAATACACAATACTGAGGCTGCCTGCGTATGGGGATGACTGTTACTTCGGTAAAGCCGCCGTGCTACAAGCGAGTGGTCAAGTTCACATTTTTCCTCGTCATCTGGCAGAAAATATGCCCATATTTCACAGGCTTTTACGCTCATTTTTCTACGTGGTAACGTCATGTATAAAGCCAATAGAGAACGATATATTTTTGCCCAGTACTGCATGTCCTATTTATTTCTTCGCCCGAGTGTGTCCGGAATGGAGGTTTATCAAGAACGAGTATCTGCTCATATTTGTTTGTCTGAAAATTTTTGTATCAGATTTTATTGATTCTAGCACGTCCTTTTGCTTTGAAAATGTTAACTTCGCTCATATTCAGTGAAAACAGTGTTATACCGTAACTTGAGGGGACGGAGCATAGTGTGTGTGTCTCCCTATGCCAAAAGCCTGCGATAGCAGGCGTGAAACTGTATTAAATGCATCTGATCAGTCAAGAAGTTACGGTATTAAAAATTACTGTGCTGTAATTGTAATTAGCAGAAATAATGTTAAAATGTGCTCGACTTAGCAGATAATCCGAATTTAAAATACTTTATCCCTATTCATATTTGTTTTGGAAAAATTGTAATCCAACGTCGTATAATCCAGCTGTAATTATCTTGTCGAAACACGCACTGTTATACCAATAAAACTTACCATTTTCCGATGTTTTTTTTTAATATTTTTTATCACAAACAACCAGGGGATCCTTAGAGCTTAGATTTCACGCTTGATCCAAATTTTTTCTTACATTCTTTTGATGCTCAGGGCTGTACCTCGGATCATGATGGCGCAAATTTTTCGTTAAAGAAAGCTTCATCTCTCCAGCCTTATATTCATGCATTTCCATATTTGTAATTTGATTCTGTGAGAACCGCCGCACAGAAATGCCGCATAACTTCGGAACTCGGAAGCTTCCAAAATTTTAGCAATAACGATGTATAGTTCTGTAAAATGGAAGTCATCCCAAGAATCTAATGTCTGCGCACTGCTTCATGCGATGCGCTTTTTAATATTGCGTAAACATACTTTTGAGTAACCATTTGTCTGCCTTACTTGCAAGCATCGCCCGTAATTCTGCCCCACCCCTCATTTGCTACTTTTTTCAAGGTCGTTGTCTCGTTTTCGCATGAAATGTGGCTAATTATGCCGTACTCATTTATAATCTGTAACCGCGTTCATGCTGCACTTTTATCCCGATTACCGGTCTAGTTTTCATTTCTTTATATGCGTCCATGTCAAAATCACGATGCTTCTCGACTTTTCTGTAGACTAGACTTTTGAGAGACCTGATCATGTTCGTTTATTATAACATGGTAATGTTAGTTCATGTTACGTAACGGGCTGCCGCCTGACGAGCGGAGACCGCATAACCCTTACGGATGTCGTGACTTAATTTCGGCGGCTCGCGAGTATCCGATGCACAGCAGTAGGTCGTGGATCTGCTCGATTGTTTTGCACGCGTAGAGCGGGGTTTCGAGGACTCGGGTTCTGTAGCAAGCAATGGAAGCGATCGGAAGCGGTTGTTATTGCAGCGACGTCGAGGCTTAGGAGGAGACGTGGCCTACAGGGAAGGGGTACGGATCGCCTGGTTCACTGCAGTCAAGTGGCTCGGGTCCTTTGAGCTGACTGACCCATCGCCTCCTTTGCCCCTGCCAAATCGGAAAATGCAGTCGTTGACACTAATCCGTGCACTCAAGGTGTGTTGCGCGTGGAAGAGCTTTGTCTTCTGCGACTTTCCTGCTTCCGTGTCGGCACCTCACGAGCCACCTGTGTTTCCTGCCCTGGATTTGGGCACGTTCTAGCGATTGTTTCACATCTCTCACTGGTGTATCTGGATCGCGATCAGCATTCCTCCTTTTTCTCCGAATTACAGTCCGTCCAAGTTCCGTTCGTGATCTTGACATTTCTCACGATTTCCTTCGTAACCACCAATGATGGAATGGCCGGCATCAATCATTTTATTTCTAGCTTGTTCGCCCTTCTAAATCAGATTCAAAAATCGGAGAACTATAGCATGGAATAAGATTTATAGCCTCTACATTCCGCATGTGTGCCGATATCACGTGCGGAATGAAATGAGAGAAACTGCCAGGTACGTTTAAAAATTCAGTGGAGTACTGCGATGCATTTAATTCACGAAGCTTTTTGCGAGAAGAAATTCTGTTCGAAGTTCTTCCATTTTTCAACGCAATAAATCTGAGAAGAAAGTTTCCCGCAGATAGTCGGAAGTTCTACTTGAGCGGCAGTCGGGTTGTGTGTAGCACATAACAGTCACATCGTGGTTGCGGTAATGTTACTGGCATTGTTCTCCATCGATAAACCAGGGGAAAGTTCAGTTTCTGTGAGTGAAATTGGTCAATGCGTTTCGTTCGGTAAACTTTCACGGGACGGGAACTATTTTTCTGGTGATGGAGAAATACGAGGGATGGTTCAAACGGTTCATTAGTCTTCTGGAGGTCTTTTCGTGTGGATGTACTTATTTTCCAAACCAAATTCCTTTTTTTTTTCTCACGCAGACTAAAACAGGAATCAGAATTGAGTTGAAAGTGCCCCCACATAATTGTTCACAAAAAAGGCTTACCTTCAACAGTCATTCCATTTGCTGGTGATTTGAAGTTCTATCAAATATTAAAAAATACTGTATATATTGTATATATTTCTGGGCAAGATCTCGAAACCATGCTTCATTGGAAATGAGTGTTGAAGTTGGTAACTTTTGTTATCCTAGATCTCAATCGATGAGGAAGAATTATCTGAAGTCAGAGCTGCATTTGTCGAGAATGTTCAGTAGATACGAAAAAGGCTTTCTCGAAGTCCTGGGATTGATTCCGTGGTGGTTTTTAAAAAAAAGGATTTTGCGTTATTAGTTCGGGTACCCGAAGAACTTCATTTCTTGGTACTGTACTTAGTGTACTATTCTTTGAACCATCCCTGGTGTTCGTTTATATTGTTGCTCATGAGGCCGACTGGTGATCGAAAAGCATAACGGATTTTCTGCGTCCAGTTTGGGGAGAATATTCTGAAATCTTGTAAAGCGAGGGAAGAAGGATCGAATGTTGGTGGTGAACCTAAACTTGTGGCACTACGCGTCGTCTTGAATTCGTCGTGCGCGTAGCACCCCATTTTTTTGCTTATTTTTTTCTCACCGATGGGCTTCGCACCTCGCGTCTTGAAGGCCTCCGTTACGATCGCCTCTGGAGGACGCGCTCCTCCGGCTCCTCGACCTGCTGAATATAATTCCTGCTGATCTTGTCGAACCGCTTGGCAGGAGATCTCCTGTTTTGCTTGACGCCTCGTGATGATTTGCATATTTCGTAGCCCGTGTTGAGACCTGACTGGAGAATGTCGCGACCTGTTCGCGAGTTGTTTTTTTCTCTCTTTCGTCTTGCGTTGCGGTGGTAGTTTATGGTTGAACTTTCGTTTGCTAGCTGACGCGCTAATTTTGTGACCGAGTTTATTCAAGTTGCCTTTTGAATTTCACGACTAACATGTTTCCATTGCCTTTTCTCGCTTCTGTAACCCGTCACTAACTGCTACTCTGGCTGTTATGGACCTGCGCCCCACCAGACCTTGGTAAGTCGCTGCTGCAAGTTCCTTGTTCCATCTGCACGCATTTCCTATGACCGGGGGGTCCTTAGGGAGTGGGATGCGTGAGCGATTCCGTGCGTAAATAGAGACAGTATTCTCGCGAAGACTCTGCGCTGATGCATAATGCAACCGCTGTGATAGCGCGGTGCTCATGAAATTTTCATGCGGCCCGCTCGCCGATACCGAATTTCTTGTCCACCTGCTTTCCGTATTTAGCTGAAGGCTAAGGATGCTGATAAACCGTCTCGTGCCCATTTTCCGCGCTTGTTACATGTCCACGTCGCATTATCCGAGTGAACTTCCGGAAGGCTGTGTCCGTGTAATCCAAGTGTACCTGATCCGATTAGCGTCTGATACTTTGTCGAGGGTCCGAAGAATTTCAGGGACTTTGCGCAGATTTACTAGAAAGATATCAAGCAAAACAAAGAAGTTAAAACCCCGAGCGTTCAATCACTTGTGCCCAAGCTTCGAATCAATGAGAAGACTTACAGAACTCCATAATTAGCTTCTAGATAGAGCTGCTGCTGCTTTTCCACAAATTATCCAGGATGATGCAAGTTTACTACATTTTTGGAATTTGATCACAATAAAATCATCTTGGTCGTTCTTGAAGGGTGGCTTTATATTTGAAACAAATATTCATTTGTTCGTTATTTGTATTTGATGTTCAGGTCAAACGCATTTGGTCCGAAATAGTTGTCTGACCCCATTTATCTGTGTTATTCTGTATCTGATGATGTTTCATACGTAAAATGTCAACTCGAAATTGAGACGAGGAAAATAATTAAATAGCAAGGTGGGTCTGGAATTTGCTGGTAAGTATGCCGGTAAGCCTTTGACGTACGTAATCGAAATATAAATTGTCTGAAAATTGAATTAAACGAAGTTTTGCCGAATTTTTCTGTTCAGGGGCACAACAGTCCTGATTTATGTTGGAGACGTTCAAAGATTTAAAAGCTCTTTATTTTATGTCTTGACTGCAGCATAAATAAAATCATCTCTGATTTTCAAGTAATCGAATGCAATAAAAGTACATCTCGTGCTAAAGAAAATTTACATTCCGAGGCGCACATCTGATAGTTCGCATCGTCTTATGTTGGAGTAAATACGGTGCAGAATGCAAATAGCTGACGGTGGGTTATAATCTGTCCGATTCTGCATTTTGCGAACATCCCCTCAATGGGTCGTTCATTCATCACGGGTTAATTTGCCGTTGGGTAGAAATAAGCCCACTCTCCCATCATTGAACACGCTTTGCATCTCAAAGTATTCCTGCCATCCTCTCCCCGCGAGACGGATTATAAATCCTCGTTCAAGAGGAATACCGTGGGTATCTGGGATGGAATCCCTGGCCTGGAGGACCTCGGTATTAATCATCATCGAGCTCAGAGAATAGCTCTTGACACACTGTGGGCGTGATGGAATTTGTAAGATTGTAATTTATGTCTCTGTTTCCGCACGATCCGATAACCTCGCATTAGGCTTCGAACCTTGCGTGTGATTTCAGGCGTAGAAACATTTTCAGCAACGGAAGATCTAGGACTCTCGGAATTCGTCCTATTTTCATCTATTTAGATTTTTTAATAAAGAGATGATCGAATGGAAGGAGGAGGATCCCATAAAAATTTCCGGATGGTAGAACGAGTTCTGTGTAAACTCGCAGCGAAAGTTTTGGATTTGAAGTAGTCCCATGTAAACTAGGCCGTGACGCCGGAAAACTTCATGCATTGGATGCGTCATGTCAGAAAAAATCGCTGTTGACGGCAGAGAATGCAGAATGAAGAATTGCTCTCCGAATTGAAATGTCTGAAAGTGGCTGTCCTGGAACTTGCAAGCTGTTCGTGCCTCTGTGCGGTTCGGATAACTGAAATGAAGTTCCGGAGAAAACACTGGGGCGAAGCTCTGGTAGGACGAAGCTGGGCTAGGTCAGAAACTTGGAGCACGGATGATGCACTTTATTGTCAATGTGCAGGCGAAAGAAAGGAGAGAAAAACGACGTTGTGGGGCCGGGAAATGACTGGGCGGAAAGCAGATTTCTCTCGCCTACGGTGTGCTTGATATGAAATTTTGGGATCCGTGTAGTTTCATTGCGACGGGAACTGGAGTTCGTTCTTTATGAAATGTCCGAACTGTCTCGCCCTGCCCGTGACGGGAATACGGAATGCCGTGCATTCCTACCCCGATTCCGCGTTCATATTTATTTTTCCGTCTGCACGCGATGCCCCCTGACGGTATTCCCCGGTAATGGTACCGATTTTTCTTCTCATCCTCTCCTTTTCTTGGCACTGCTCCGTTGTCCTTCCTTTTCGAATGCACCTTGTACACATGCTTCAGTTCTTCCTTTTTGGGACGTATCAACAGGCCCCGGAAGGTGAGAGTCAACCGAGTACGGAAGTGGATCTCTTCATATCGACGGAGAAAATCATGGTTCTCAACACTGATCTCAAGGTGAGCTGATTTCGAATTTCATTGCATGATTCGGTTATGACAGATGTACCTAGTAGCTCCGTAAATGCTTTACCGAAAGAAAGAAAATGGAGCGACTCGGTGGTGAAAGTTAGACGACATGATGAGAAAGATGAATGAGAAGTCCAGGGAAAAGAATTTTTCCCCTTTGGCTCTTCTGCGTTTTCTTCTGCCCTAATTGGAATTTCTTTTCGAGAGAAGGAAAAGAGAGGATAAGTCATAGCTGTCGACGTGTTTCGTCATAAAGTCCCAGGGTTTATTTGAAAAATGTGCGAAATGAAGAAATCTGTCAGTTTTTTCCTTAGAATTGGAGTAAGTTTGTCTAGTCCAAAGTTTAGCTTGATTTAAATTGGGGAGATAAACATGAAATTTGGAATAAGTTCATGTAAACTTCAATGTCATGCCGGTTTTGATTATGCTATGTCTATAAAATTGTGAAGTTTTTATTTTTATTCTCGTTTTCTGTTCTTGGTGTGAAATGTGTTCCTTTTCAAGTATACGATGAATTATTTTGTTCATATGAGCGTAATTATTTAGACGAATCAAGTAGCCGAGTCTCAAGTCGGGAATCCGCGACTTTATCATCGTGGCTACGACTTCAAAGTTTGTTGGCCTACGGTAAGGGACGTTGTCAGAAAACAAATTTTTGCACAAGTTTGCGTCCTCTTCAAGTGCACTGTAAAAGTTTTCTAATGAAAATGATTCATATTTCCCGAATACCACTTGGAAATTATGCCAGGCGGAGGGGTTTCCGGTTCGAAATAACAAGCCCAATCACATTGCAGTCGAACGTATGATTATGTTATTCTCGGTTTATTGACGAATACGAATCACATGTAATTAGCCTGATGCGTTCGAGCTGGAGACTTAATTGGCTTGGCCAGGTGTGTTTACACTCACTTCGATGTGCTAATTTCATTGTTCGGCCGAAAGACGGCTTCGGAAACATCGAGTTAGTACCCAAAACGATGAACCAAGGTTAGATTTTTGTTGTTGTTTCGGAATGAACGTGCGCCTGCAGTTGAAAATGGTCTGATGCCTCCACCAATTACCCCTGTTGTTGTGGGACGTGTTTAATGTGACAAGAAATCTCGTTTATTCAAATGCGTACCGTGGCAATTTCACGGCCGTCAATTCCGATTCCTCTGATGCGGCAGCGACGGAGCCAGTGCTTTGCTCGATTTAAAAGATTTTCATCCCGACTGCTGGGTTCGAGGAACAACTAGCGCTGCGGGCGGAGATGTCGTAATCCAGCGCGGGGCGACACGTGCTGCCGATTTTCCGCTTCCAGTTCCGTTGAACACTGTCGTGACGGAGGCTGACGCCCGGTTGCCCCGGCGCCATTTATCGTGCCGCGCTGTTTCCTCGGCCCACGTCGCTAATTAACCCGATTGTTGCTCTTTCCATCAGGAAATGATTGTGGATTGCGCCTCTATTTTTTTATGTATTTTTTATTTCTGGCATCTTGAAGATTTTAATTTCATTTTCTTCATGCATGGGGTCCACCTGAAAGTGTCGCTCTTTCGAACGTCCCGCGGAGTTCCTTTTTGCGCTGAGCCTTTGATATATGGCCTCTCCTAGCAGCTGTCGATGCGCTTACAAATTTAGTCATCTCGCTTTCCTGAATTATTATCGGAAAGGGGGACTTTCCTGCTGATCTGGCGACGGAAGCTTTTCTTCGAGAAATCTATTCAAGTTGCGCTTTGAATAAAGCTTTAAAAATCTAGAATCACCGGCAATTTTGTCGCATTCACACATTCGAAGTTGCATTATTCATGTCCACGGAGTTTTAGGAGCAGGGCGATATATTTTTGAAAACCTTGATGAATTAGTAACCCTTTTTATTGATTGAACTAAAATTAAAATAAAATCATTTTATCAGCTTTTTCGCAGTACAGTACCTTCAGTCGTGTCAAGAATTGTTGCTTTAACGCAACGAGTTTGTACATGGCTGGTTACCCGTCTCTTCTGGATTGGCGAAAGATTGACTGAATGCCCTATGGTTTTAATTTGTGAGCATATTGAAAAAATGAATTTTTCTATGGCTTTAAACAACTTTCTCCACGTTTTTGACTTGAAGGACCCTTCTTCCACGAGTTACTTACTATACGTTTGAATAAATTTCTGTGACGGAGTTCCGGATGCCAAGCTGATGCAGATATTCTAGAGAATTATATTTTATACCGAATTCGTCCGCGTTGAGGCCGAGATACGAGTTGATGCCATTTTTTATTTTTTCATGAAGTTAATGCGAAAAGGAACTCTTCAGGTCTACGTTGAAAAACACTACACTGAACATTTATAGACACTGGAGAGTGCTTTGGGGAGAATTATCCGTTTTAATACTCTGTATTTAAAAGTGTTTTAATTTTGAAACTACAGTTTTACTGCGTATTTGTTTAAGCCTTGTGAGAAATTCATGATAAATATTGACCATGTGCGTAAAATTATGAGGATTATCGTCGTATCGTCGATTACAGAACAGCAAATATGTGTGCAAACACCCCTTGAATTCAGAAGAATTGAATATTGTAAAAATCTTCGTGCTGTGACTGGCCAATGTGGTGATCATTCACAGTACATCAGTACTGCAATGACTACGCTAAACCGACAAGGCGATTGATCCTTGGAGATCGCTCATTATTCTCTGATAACTCTAGGAGAGACGGTACTCATACAAGTAAGAGAGGTTTTTTGCGACATTCGAAGTTGGCAAGGCATATGTAAGTGGTAAAATTTGGTGGAAAGTGGAGTAGCGAGAGCGTTTTCCCAATTGTTCGGAAATTCGGAATCATAGTATTCATCAAGGGTGTTCATTAACATTGCCACGCGAAAATGTCAAGAGTATATAAAAAAGGAGGGACAAAAAATTCTCACTCCCTTTCCAGCTCTATGGTGTGTGCAGTGATCTCGCAGAACATTCTCGGGAAACGCGCCAATCATCAGAAAATCCCATGTAACTTGAGATTTTCTAATCTTCCCTTCCGTACTTCTCGCTGTAGATTAAAATGCAATGAAAGCCCCTTGTCCGATTATAGAATCGGCGTTTCGTGTTCCTGAACGTTGGAACGAAAGCCGTTTTCTCATGATGAATCAGAGCTTGTTGTGGAAACTCCATGAGCAGAAATGCGATGGTTGTCTCACGATCACGCTTCCGTGCAGGAAATCATGATGGATCACGCCTTGCGATCCATTTCCTACATCGCGGATATCGGGGACCTGGTGGTGCTGATGGCGCGGCGGCGCATCACGCAGGGAGGCGAAAATGGCGAAGCTGTCGGCCCTACAATCGCTAAAACCCCCAAGATGATATGTCATATTTTCGAGAGCGAAGAGGTGAGTGCTTCCGTTTCTCTCCGTCGCGTGTACATCTGCCCTCGCAAAATTTCATCGACACCGGCAGTTTAACATCGTAGCCTTTTCTTTCATTCTTCCAGTCACTATAAACTGTATTGTCCTTGGATCAAGTATATAGGCGTTTTTCCCTGTTGCCGGGTTTTCATGGATATCCTCCCATGTTGATGCGGAGGGATTTTCCTAGTTTCTTCGACGCTTGTAGTGCAAAGAGCCTTGTTTGTGCTGGGTGGTAATGAATGTTTTAATTAGAGACTTCCGTGATGTAATGCGCTGAAGTGAATATTTGAGTTATGAAAACGTTGCGAGGGCAGCTGTCAGCACAAGTTGTGTCGCGCACCCGTGGGTGTTCCGTGTCAGCGCTTTTTACCCGTTATTTCGGGTCCCGCTGCCGCGTGTTGGGAATGGCGTGCGGGCATGGAAATGCCCGGGTGACCGGCAGCTGGGCCACGAGCACAGAAAGCAGCCGGCATTGCTATGCAGAGAAGAATGAGGAGTAATAGGGTTTTGCCTCGATTCGCCCTGTGGCGAACGGAGACCATTCATTTTCTGCCCCCGGAGGTCCGTGAAAATTCCCCCATTGCTCCAACATTGCTTTGGTTTAGTATATGCCCGGGCCGCGGAGGGTGAAGTTGCCCTTTTCCCTTCCGCGAGCTAGTGCACTTAGGAAAATGAAGTTATTCGCAAAGAGTGACGGGGAAATCTTCGCGGATCCGTCCCGGGGTGATCGTTGAAGTCGGTGCCGCGATGTGGCCCGCGTGATGCCGGCTGAATCGAATTCCCATTACTAAGCCATGCTTGCTGCTGCTGCTGCTCGTGAGTCCCGCAGCTCCGTGCCGAAAACGACCGAAACGCTCTTTAATGGATCCCAACAGGCTCAGTTCATCGCTCAGAGCATCGGCCAGGCGTTTCATGTTGCCTACGTCGAGTTCCTCAAGGCCAATGGAATCGAGGCAGATCAAACCCTCATGAAGGACATGGATTACCAGGAGGTGCTCAACTCTCAGGAAATCTTCGGGGATGAGCTTCAGATGTTCGCGAAGAAGGAAAACCAAAAAGAGGTTAGTTTCTTACACATTTCATTTGATCTTCCTCCTCGCATGTTTATATCGCGTTTCGCCGTCGATGCTAGTCGTCCAGACCCTCCGTACCTACGATACAAGTATAGAGTACAGTACGATTATTCTGCCGTGATGTTTGAAGTGATGTTTCTGAGATTTAATAAAGTATTTGAGAGGTTATCAATTTTTTTAAACTCGCGGAGTCCCCTTTTCGCCAGCAATAAGTTGAAAACATTGATGTGGCATTACCCTTTTTCAATTGTTTTTCGGCAAAGCCCTAGAATAGACCTCCCCGATATTCCCTGAATTCATTTTCACTGTCCAAAGTTTGACCCTTTCTGTGTTGGAGGACATATCCTTGAGCTACGAACATGAAGTACTTCTGATGTAGTGTGCTTCGCCAATTCTTCGCAAGTCCGGATTTTCTTTCATTTATTTTCCTCCCCAATTTTCTCTTGTGACCGCGGGGCCCCCGGGGGTACAGTACGCGCGAAACCTTCATTGCTCTGGTGAACGCAGGTTGAGAGCCGCGGTCGTTCTGTATTCTCATGCATTGAGTTTGTTACCGAGGATTTTTTGTTGTTGTTCGTTCGGTAGAATAACAGCCGATCTGTTGAATCCCAGCGTTTTCACTTTAATCGGCACTTCTTGATCAGGATGTCGCTAGATTTAGTCGGCGGTTGCTGCGGTTTTTCATCGAGGCCTTACCCAGATAAATGTTCGCGTAGATCCCATCTGAACGTCTCAGGAAACGGGGAGGTTAAAATTATAGCCAGTAATGAACGGCCGCCATGGTTATGAGGTCGTAGCACAAGTGGGCTTTATGTGGTCTATTCCAAGCGAAATGTCGGGAGGCCTGACGCGCGCCGCGGAGAAAATGAGAAGCGGGCGAGGGGCCATTTAGGGTAACACCTCATCGAATTTATATAATTGGTCAGTGTTTGCTATCAGTATTCCGCTGAACTCCGCGAAGGGCGGTTAAGTAGCGCTTTTACGTGTCAGACAGGCTCTAACGGGCTTCCCAAGAAAATGCGTAGGGGAGGAAATTCCGCCGGTAAATGTACTGTTTTTTACAACGAAGAATAACCGTTCAACAGAAGAAGTGTTTGAGTTATGAGTTTATTCAGTGCTCCTCTTGTGGCTTTGAATTTTTTTTCGTAAGTTTTCGAGCTTGCTTTAATATTATTGGCTTTGTACCGTAATGCTAAGAAAGCTTAAACTTAGCTTGAAAATGAGACCGAGGAGGAATTTTCGATTTCTCGTTTACGAAAAACCGCATGTTGAACAGTGATATAATCAACTATTTTTAAATTTTCCATTAATTAAATTAAATTGTTTTACTAGTTTTTCCAGTGTACAGTACTGCGCGTGTCACAATGTCCGTAACCGCGGGGTTTTCGGATCATTCTCTCCCGTAACTCGCTAGCGTAGCGTGAGCGATCTGACTCTTGATTGCCTCCGAGTAAGTGGCCGAAACCGCCACTTCCAAGCCCGCGTCTACGAGGCCCGGACAATATCGTGAATAATTCGGGGCTACTTACGGTAGCACGCGACAAAAATGAAATCCCGAAAAAATTGACCCGCTGCTCGCCCCGTAGGTAAGCTGAGCTTCATGACCAAGCGGTCCGAGAGCGGCTATTTTGGCTAGTCTCCGTATGGCTCGTGAGGTCAAGTCAAGCGTCACTTCTCATTTCAGTTCACAAGAAAGGTCTATAAATCCCGTTTACGTGGACCATTGAATAGTAAGTTCATTGCATTGCCCGATTTTGCCTGAAAAGTCAGCCTGCTGGCCGAGCAGAAGTAGTGCGCGGGAGTTTGGTTTCCGTGTGCTGTTGACGTAAGCATTCTTGACAAAAGTTCAGCGCCGTATTGCTTCAAAACTACAGTAGTTTAATTACGATGGTCAGATATACTGATTAGGATTATCTGGATTGTTTCATGTCTTCGGCATCTCTTTTTCATCCAGCCGATTCATCAGTCATTGAATTCGATTAATGTTGGCCGTGGATGTAAGCACTTTTTATATTTGTTCAAGGCTTCAATTCGAGTGAGTATTTCGAAAATGTTCCCAATCAACCCTGTTACACGCATGTGTGATGCACTGGTGACTGATTTTTCTCTTCTTGTCATTGAAGCTGTGTGCAAACATTTGAAAATGTTGAAACGGGATGTGATCCGAACAGTCCCCCTCCTCGGATCCATTCATCTGAACTGACCTCCATTGGAATAAAATGCAGTACAGTACTGTGTTAAAATTTCCGAAAATTTGACGCCCCTCGTACTAGCGCGCCTCAAGTAGTGGTTGAAGCATCCAGGCATCGACGGTTATGAAATAACCCTTGGATTCGTTCCCTGCTGATGATGCGTGGGGTGGGAAGGAGGGGGTTGCTGGGCAGGGATTTTCCGCGTCATTTGTTCTCCGTTGCTAGTGTGCGAAGTTTCTATTTCCCAACTGTCAGTCTAGAGCTACAAATCGTCGGCCCGACGTCACAACGTGACACGAGCAGCCGATGAAGGAAGACGTCTAGAAGGTCTTTTTTTCGGCTTTGTGAAAAAATTGTGCATGGCTTCAGGCATATTGAGGAGAAGAAGCGTTCCGTCGTGATGCCCCTGGGGAACGTGGCGTGCCTCAGTTGACGTGGATGAGTATTGGCATTAGAAAGAGGAAAAAAATTCTGCACGGATGCATCATTCCGTGCTTGTGACGCTTTGACGATCACTGATCCTCGGATTGCTCTTCCTGAACCGGGATTGAAATTTATTTGTGATTGCTCGCCCCTGCGTTTCTTTTTGTCTCTCTGCTAGCGAAAAATTGGTTTTCCTTCAGAAGAGAGACTTCGAGACCTTCGTCTAGCGACCTGGTTGAGCTCGTTATGCCAACTTCTGTTTCGGTTGTTTGATTTTCGAAGGAGCCAATATTAAGCTGAACCTCTGCACAGTCGTTACACCGCGCTACTACGGAAGGCAGCGTTTGTAAACATTCTCGTCGCCCCTCGAAAGATTCCTCGTCACAAGCGATTTCCCCACGCCGTATTCGTTCCTGCGAGAGGAACAGCCCTTCCGTATCCTTCGCGTCAGAGCTTCCGCGCGTCTGCCGATATTCGCACAGAACAAATGGCCCATGGGGTTCTTTATCTCTGGAACACCGCCGGTAGTTCTACCGCCACCTTTTCTAACGTCGCGCGTAGAAGGATATTATCCTGCGAAAGGCCACGGGACAATCTGTTGTTCCGAGAGCCTCGCGCTGGCAATTATGCCGCTTGAGAACAGAGCGCGCTTTCATTGATTGCGTTCGGAGCGGGGCCCCGATCATTTTATTGCGATGCGCAGGTGAGACGTGTATATGGAAGAGATTTTGTGTCCCTGGAGACCCGGGAAAGACGATTTTTATGCCGTTGGATGCCACTTGGGTCATATGGGGAGGCTGTTGGAGCTCGGTTCTTCTAGCGTTTTCCGCTCGAAATTCGATAATTCCGCGAACAAGATGCAGATGGGATGAGTTCTTCCCTTGAACCATCATCCGATCATCGTCCTCTTGCATGTCGTGGCGAAATCGAAGTCCTTGTTACTATTCTTCTTTAAAATGCTGGAGTTTTCCTCTATCAATAGAAGTTCGTCGCGTCAAGGTATTGGTCGATCGAATCTCGGTTCTTTCTTTTCGACGAAACTTTTTCTTCTCTCGTAACTTTCCAACAGGTATTCAATGGACGGTTGATCTATTTTCATGTTCTACAACGAGCCATGTTCTGTTCGTACTACGTATTAAAAATTATATATAAGTTTTTAAATTCTTTTGGAAGTTTTTTTTATGAATATGCAATACTGTAGCTTTTATTGAGATAGTAGTGGTAATTGCCTGACAGCTGTTCCAAGTTTTGCTTACCCGGGTTGAAATGAAGTGTTGAAAGTGTACCGTGTCACCGTTAGAAAATGAGGTACACATTTTCGGTACCCCTCGTGGGTATTGATTTGAAATAATTCGAAGATCTTCCAAGATGGTGTAGTACTGTATATCCCAAATATTACAGCCATGATCAAATTTGGAAAATAAATTTTCTGTTTTGTCAAAATTTTTTGATGACGCCGAATGTGAAAATTTCATTTGAATATCGATTGTCTGTCAGTGCTGGAATTTTAGAAAATTTGTAGGATATAGCTTCAATTGCTTCAAGTCTTGTTGATCCTACACGGGTTCTGATTCGAATACTTGAGTACCTCAGAATCTTCATTTTGGGACACTGGCTCAACTATTGAACCATCCCTTGTATTCCAGAGGCAGCTTCGATCCTTCCATTCAGAATTGAGGAAGTATGACTTTTTTCGACGAAAGAAAACCACTTCAGAAGGTACGAAAGGTATTCGTAGAATAATAAGTGTGGTCGGAAAGATATGCATCGAGCGGTTCGTTTGGTGAAGGGATCCTTAGAATACGGCTTCGTTTAGCAGCTCTCGTTTGGGGTGGGCAAGAGTGCAGCGAACGTTGAAAAATTGCTCGCCCGCTGACTTTGAGAAATTGCTGTCTCTGTGTATACTCGTCTGGAAATTCGCGTTCATTAATGATTCCCGTGTCCTGCCGTCGGGCGCAGTTTGTTCCTGGCATCGATCGCGACCCGCAGGTGCCAGGTTCGCACTACCATACTTTTTTTTCTCTCCCTTAACGTCGCACTGTTTGTATCTCGCAGGTGGTCGTACCAAAGAGCAAGGGCGAAATCCTTGGGATGGTGATCGTGGAAAGCGGATGGGGATCCATGCTGCCGACTGTCGTCGTCGCGAACCTCCTTCCTTCTGGGCCGGCTGCCCGCTGCGGCCTCCTCAATATCGGAGATCAAATCATTGCAATCAATGGTGTCTCTCTGGTTGGGCTTCCGCTATCCACCTGCCAGCAGTATATCAAGGTGAGCTGCTCATCTCGGCATAGAATTTTCTTGGAATAGAACCTCAGGCATCCTCTGCATTTGTTTAGCTTGGAGAGATTCGTTCAGCGCCTTGAATCTACTGTTCATCCTTCGAATTTTACCCAACGAATTTATGATTCTTGAAAAGAGTACCTGTGCATAATTCTCGATGTATCCCTGACTGTCCAATTTCTTCATACTGCGTTATCTTAAAAAAAAAGACAAGTTATATACATTTTCTTCTCTGAGAATATATCCTGCACTTTCTAGACGGTGGAGTTTGGATTGAATTGAAATGTACGTTGATTGTTCGAAGAACAGGAAGTTTTTTCTCGCGGAAACTTCGACGCAGATCATTAGCAGAAGGAATAAAGTGACCGAGCGATGATTTTTCTTTGTCCGCTTTATTTCAAGGAGAAAAATTTACTTTGTCAGCATCCAATTAGAGCAGAATAAGCACATTTTACACTTCGAATAGGGCTTATTTTTGGGACGGCTAGTAATGAAGTATTATGTGGTGGAAATCTGTGGAATATGATCGTTTGGGTCATAGAAAATTTTCCTTCGAAAGGAGACTTGGTTCATCAGTTTTGATGATATTAAATACAAAAAGGAATTTCGCGATGGTGATGGCTATATGATGACGATTTCCATTACAGAATACCAAGACGCAGACAGTCGTTAAGCTGACTGTCGTTCCGTGTCCGCCGGTGGTCGAAGTCAAGATAAGAAGACCGGATACGAAGTACCAGCTCGGGTTTTCTGTCCAAAACGGAGTGGTTCGTTGAATTTTTTATCCGTTCCGTCGCTCTTCGAATTGAAGTTGGGCTTCTGTGGCTTGCATTTGAGCTGATCCCGACTGCGCAAAATGGCTTTCTTGAAAGATTTAAGATCCCACATCCTCGTCATCCATTTCTCGCGACTCTGTCTCCAAGAGTGGCTCTCCAGGTGAAGTGAAGCTCGCAAGAGTTTGCCTCACCGATGTCTGAGGGCTTCCGTCTTCACTCGAGACTTTCGCGGCTTATCTCCTCATGATCTACCGTCCTCTAAAACCGTCAAGAGGCTTCTTTTTTCTAAATTCTCCCCCAACTTCTGCCATCAATTTCAATCTTGCGGAAGCCATCGTTGAATGCATCCTTTTTTTATACTCCTTTCATTTGCAGATTTGCAGTCTACTTCGCGGTGGTATTGCCGAACGAGGAGGAGTTCGGGTAGGGCATCGAATTATTGAAATCAACAACCAAAGTGTGGTAGCAGTTCCTCATGAAAAGATAGTCAATCTTCTGGCTACATCGACTGGAGAAGTGAGTCGTTGATATCGTCGTTGCAACGATGTTTGGATTTGCCTTATGGAGGAAATTTGTTCAACAGATCGCGATGAAAACGATGCCTACGTCGATGTTCAGACTGTTGACTGGCCAGGAGACACCAGTGTACATGTGAAGTGAGCTGGCAAGCTTGAAGTGAACGTCTGCGGCGGAAACCTACGAGGAGGCTGATAGCCAGATGGTCTCTGAGGGACCCTGAGTAACAGCAGGGTTGAGAATTTCTAGTCTTCTCGATTCCGCAACTGCGCGGCAGTCGGCTTTCACCTTTTTGTTTCGGTTACGTTTTTATTCCGTTGATGAAAAGGAAGGGAATTGCGAACATTCTTTTCATCTTGTGATGGCGCCCCTGCGTGACTATTGTGACAATATTAATATCAATATTTTTTGGTCATTCGAAACTTAACAAAGAGGTCAACTTGCATTCTCGCGTATCCTCTTCCGGGTTCATCGGTGTGATGTTCTCTGCCACTAGTGTATCCTTCGCTGTGTAAATCAGCTCATGTGCCCGGTAATGGCGAGCGATGCGGAAGGATTTCCGCTTCAGTGTTGTGCAAGCATCCATCTGGAACTTGCTTGCAGTGTTTTCCATGACTCGACCGATCGGAACATATCGCTCCCAATGTCTCACCCCCTTTCCAATCCCGGAGCTCCTAGTTTAGTCACTTTGAACAAGAATTGTGTTCAAGCTTTGTTAATAAGCGCGACGGCTGCTGAATAGGGATGGAAACGCAGAGTTAGCCTAGTTGGGGTATGCCGCGAGCTACCAAAGTTACGTTGAAGCAGTTCCTCGAACTGGGCATTTCGGTTCTGGTTTGCCCTTCCCTTCAATTTTTGATTGCTGTGTGAGCTTCACGTTGTCTGAAGAGGAGACATGGCGCAGCTGAATGAAAATATCGTTGGCAGTGATCCGTTCGTAAAGCTGAATAGTCGCAGAAGAGTGCCGAGGAGTACGTCAAGTGCGTGTTTGTCCGAGCACGGAAGCCTATATTTTAATAAATAGCGGGAGCAGAATGCGAAATTTAGTATCTGTTAAAAACCTTTGCGTTTGGCTGCGCGATCAACCGGAGGGCATGTCACTGATTAAGTTCCCCAAATATTTTGTGTGAACCTTTGTGATCAAGCTCGAGCCGTGTTCTGCAGTGTTAGGGTGTTTCTTCATTTGTGAACTTCGCGGAATTTTCTGCGCATAGGTGCTGGAATAACAAATTGAAGGAACCCACTGATCTGTACCGATGCTAATGTGCTTCTGCTTGTGGGATGCGTTCTGTTCGATGCCTTCGTCAAGAAGATAAATCTCATTTGATCTTCGTTTCATTTCGCGTCGGCGGCTCTCGTCACGTCGTGCCAGCCATAATTATTCATGTGCCCTCGAAATTTTGGAAAGGGCAGGTTTCTTTCTTTTCCTTTTTTTCCTAGAGACCGATAAAAACGCTTTCTGCTGCATGAAACGCCGGCATTGGGATCATGGTAGTATCTAATAAACGTTTCTGAGTCAATCATGCTGATTGTCATTTTTTTCTCACAAGCTGGGGGTGCCCAGCCACACCTGGGCATCATGTTTGGAATTTTACAAAGATGCAAAAAAATTTCCAATAAATCAATGGATCTTAAAAATAGGATACCAAGCCACACTTGGGCATCATTTTAAAAATTTTTGTCAGATGAAAAAAGAATTGCTATGAGTGCAGCTCTCATGCTTTTTGATTTGATGCCCAGCAGATCTCCTAAGCCACTCTTTGAAAATTTAGAAATTTCAGAAACTTTTTCAGGATAAGAACTGATACACTGAATCATTCTGCTGAATTTACCACTTGTGACCAAGTTGTTGACATAGCCATTTTTTCTTCTATGAACCTCAAAAAGGTTCATGTGACCACCTTCTCCACAAAACAATTGTCCTTACATCATTTCTTGGACTCTAGGTCATGTATTTTAGGTGGTTCTTAGCAACACCTGTCCAGTAAAAAAACTGAATACCAGTATAGTTTTGTTTGCATTGACAGGGTTTAGTAGAAAATTGAAGGATCCCCCCTCTTCCCATTACACTATACAGTCGTCCCTCGACTTACGGACTTAATTCGTGCAATGGACTGGTCCTTAAGTCGGGCGGTCCGTAAGTTGGGGGCGTCTCTTCCTTGAGAAATAATGAAAAATTTTTAATTGGTGTCGCAACTTTCAATTTCTATGGTGAAAAAAAGAAAAATTTGAAAAAAAAGACAGATCACAGAAGGGTTCAACACCAGCTCAACTTTATGCACTATCCTTACATGAAATAATGCAGAACAGTACACAAAGTAGTACACTAATGCACTTTTCAACTCATTCAGAGTCACTCTCATCAT